AAGGTAAAAGTAGTTGTTAACTTGAAAAATATCTCTACATGACATCACAAGGTGGAACAGAGCATTTTGAGCATTGGGAATGCAGACAAACTAATAATAAAGTGCTACTCAAACATGTGTGAATGAAACAAAACACAACTCTAGGTTTTGATGAGGTAACATTATAACATGGCTCATAGCTCACGCGAGTCAATTTTGCATAAAAAATGAATAAATGTAACTTATTTGATTGGGAAAGCTGCACCGTGAAACAAGGAGAGTGTGTGGAGACATTCAGCAAATGGTTCAGAAAAACTTTGACCAATGAAATCAACTGTAAACTTTCTAGTCTGTTATTAACCCATTTGTCTACTGGTTAACCACAGATGCTAACAAACACTATAAGTATGCTGGGCGTGGTTTTGTAAGTTATAGTTGACTTTTCTCTATGTTGACTTACTACTGAACATTACCACGAAACAGGAAGCATACGTTCTTTTTTTGAGTGGGCAAAAGTAGCATCCCAAATAAAAAAGTTGAATTAGTAGTTTTATTTTTTCTCTGTTTGAGCTGAAGTGAAACCAGCTGCCATTTTCACTGGTGAAGTTTCGAAACGTGTTATTCTTGTAGCAGAGTTCAAAACAACTTCTAGTGGAAACTGGACAATTTGGTCACAGCACTGAAAGATCTATCATCCGGTGTTCATCATGCGTGGATGTATAATGATATAGTGTGATCTGTTTTTCAAATGGTGCTGTCCGGTTTGATTCCTGACTTGAGGTGTAAATCTGTCAAGAAAAAGTTTGCTTTGTCGAAAATATCTGAAACAAATGCTTACCAGATGTACTTAAGGTGTTTTATTGTTTGGGAGCATGCTAACCTTGCACATATGGGAAAGGAACATACCTGAGTTCATTATTTTCATATGGGCTCACCCTTTTTGATAGAAGCCGTTGCATGTCAGTTTGGTTTGAATATGTGGCTTGTTTGGGGTGCAAGGCTATGCTAATGTTATGATTTATCTTTGAAGACATTTTTCTTCCTTGGGCCAACTAAATATGTTTTGTATCAGTTCACACATTGAAAATAACTGACCCACATATGTGTCTCTCTGAGACAAGAGGTTTTTACATGGGTTCGGAGAAATGATTCATTCTAAATATTTGGAAACTTGTTGCTCTGGACAACCCAGCACTAATCTGCTATGGCAAACCCACTTGAGTCATTCACCAAAATTGACTTTTGGCATAAACCTGTTGGTAGCCGTTTTTAGGTATGAGCAAATACTGGACTGCATAAAGTAGGGAAATACATTAAAGGTACATTATGTAACTTTTCTGGTGAGGAGTCTACCAATGGAGATGTTATTACTTTGACTGGAATGTTCCATAGTATTGCATTAAACCAATCTCTTCTGTATTTACTCAGTTACCAGTGTTTTTATTGCCTGCTTGTCTCCATGGAGATATTATTATAATTTTTTTTTTCATATTGTCGAAAAGTTACATGCTGCACCTTTAATTAGAATTAAAGCAGCTGCAGAATAGGATAGCAAAATGATGGCAGAACATTTTTAATTGAGAAAATTTTACTCCAAATGATGAATGGAGTTTAATACCTTCATAACTACCAATACCATTCATATACAAATGTATATCAGTCAGGTCCTCACATGCTCAAAGGTTCTCATCGATCACTGAAATAAAATTTCTCTCACCCCAGCTTAATCTTTTTTTACTCATAAGCAGCCATATTTATTTTGATATGGACAGACAAAGGGTGTCCGTGATTGGCTAATGCACCTGTCAGTCACGCCCATCTGAAAACTGGCAAATTCACCGGTGACCAGACTCACATCTTTGTTAAGTATTCTGGATCTTAGGCAATCATTATATAATAAAGAGCTTTGTTTGAATGTCATTTCTTAATAAGAAGCCCAAACCTTTAAGTCAAAAAACATGCAGTCTGCGGAGAAGCAACCACAGGCTTAAAACATGTGCAGATGTGACTCATGGTGTTTCAGAAGACTCTCCAGCACAACATTACATCCAAGGCACTGGCATCCAACCAAAATGGAAGGTGTTCTAAAGATGTTGTTTGAATTCATGCATTCGTCAGCCCTTATGTAACAGCAGCTGAAGCATTTGGTCTGTGCTATGGTTGAACAGGAAGGACATGGACTACATCTTACTTCCTCTCCCAGACAGCTGTGACACTGTGAGCTGTGTGTCCACTTACTCTGCTCTGATAAGAGGAACATGTCTAATCCAAGTTCAGACCAAAATAATTCAGCCAAGAGCTTTTTCAGTGGAAATAGTCTAGATCCTAGTTCCTTATTTGCAATCTGATACTGAGACTGATTAGCACATCCACTAAAAGCACATTTAGTTTCAAGATTGCTGTTTTGCAAATTTAAATGTTTTAGAATTTCCCTTGAATTTATATGCCACCAGAAGTAATATGATAACTAGTATGGTTCTCCTCTAGTGATTTCACAATTGTGAAAATTTCAACTCTATTTTGGGTGGAAATGGGGTGAAAATACACAATTTTATTTAGAATGTAATTTTAACACAATTTGTTTAGATAACAAAATGTGGTCTTACACAAGTTGTGATATAGAGCATTCTAACACTACTCAAGAAAAGTCAAATTTTGCCCAACTTTTAAAATTTTCAACAGTGATACTTGTTCAAATGAATATCACTTTTTGACACTAGTTCTAGCATTGATTAGTATTTGGGCATCTATTCATTTTCTTTGCATATCGTCTTAAAAAAACTTTTGAAATACTTTTTCTGTGTAGTATACAATGTAAATGCTTAATGTTATATGGCTAGCTAGGCAATTTTAGTTCCATCTGACCCATTTCTCCCACTAAATGAAGATCCTACAGCCTAGTATGTGGCACAGATCTTGATTTATTGCACTTTCCACCATTGTTCTGTGCATGGAGGACTGCATTTGTTAGTCTGTTCTTTCCCAGTGGAGCATTTGTAGAGTATAAATTGGGGCTTGTGCTAAAGTGGAACATTACAGCCACTTGTTTGGATTCACTTCAGTACTTTGTTTCTCTCATAAACCACTTTATGCTTATAAAAAGATGGCCATACAGTTAACATTTGTACCTCCTAATTTATACAGACATTACACAAGTCATCTGAACAGGGCTGAAGTCTCTCTGGGAGCAATTATGAGTTATCGACCTATTAAATATGGATTTGTCTTTTCAGTGTCTTTTGGGAGCTGTAGTTCCCTTTTCTACGCTTGTCCTAAAGGAAGTCTGCTTTGCATCATTACTCCAAGGCTATAGTGTTTGCTGTCATGTTTCAGGCTTAAATCAAATTGTGAATGCCATTTATGTGGAGAGATTTTCCGGAGATCCACAACAGACTACACTATAGTTATTGTTACAGCAATATTGAGTACTATGGGATACAATTGTGTGGTGTGGTGAAACCTGTTTGGTCCTGGTTTGGTCCCCTGCCTGGTGTAACTTAATATCATTGTCCCGGTGCTTTCCTGATTTAGTACTGATATATGTAGCTATTGTTAAAATCAAAATACAAATAGCTTAAACCTAATTTAGCTCCAGCTGTGAAGTGAAGGCAATCTGAATATTCCGGTTATTAAAATGAGTCGTGGTGATGGTGAATGGATTTTAAAAACACACACACAAACACTAGATGGATCTACCAAAAGAGGGGTGGGTGTTTTGATTTCACAAGAAGTAGACTGAATAAATGTGCAGGTTTTCTGCTTTGCATGAATGAGGCAAATCTCTTGTCATGGTTTTGATCAGTATATCATGGTTAAATGTTAAAAAAAATCATTTTATGTTTTAGCATAATATCAAACATTTATCAAATCCTGTTATGTAACATTGTACATCTTTACAGTGTTTCGGAGACTGGCTTCAAAGTAGTGCCAAGCGCAGAGGCAGGCCTGCTCCAGATCTGTGCGCTATGACAGGAATCCTCTATGGGCTCTCCTCACTCACTCACTCCACATGTGTGAGAGGGAGAGCAAGCACCTTTGGGCCAGGGTGTCCTCTCCACACTCATTATAGTCCTATGAGAAGTGTGCAGGCCAGCAGCTGCACACATAACAAACAGTGTGAAAGACAGAGATAAGATAACAATGCCACTGTGTTGGGGAGTATTGTATGACATTCAGCTTTGCGGCATGATTGTGTAGTCTGTTCAAAATGACAAATCTGATTCAGGGCAGACTTCTGGTAACTGATGATGGAGCAGCTACAAAACATATCTGTGCCAAATATTGTTCTTGAGTATCTGTCCCATACTGATATCTGGGAATCCCCTCCATTATTACCAATGTCCTTTATCGGATTATGTGATATGTCACCCATTCCTATGAACCAGTGAATATGTTGCAGCCAGGTTGAATTCCCACACTGGCGTCAGCAGCTCCGTGTATCTGGCCTGGTTTCCTCCTGGTGTTTCAAACATCCTTCTAAAACAAACCAACAACCAACATTCTGGCTAATCTCCTGAATTTACCTCATCTGAGGATTTGTCCTTATGTACTGCACTGCGGTCGCCCACAGCAGCACTCGAGTATGAGTCAACTGCAGAGGACACATTTCTCTTATAGGGACACAAAGCATAGTATAGAAAGTTGCAGAGCTTATCTTGCATAGACCTTGTATACATACCATTCATTTTCAAATGACCATTTCTAATCTAAAATCTACTGTTTCAGATATTAAAATGATTAATAAAACTGTATCATAATTATGAGAATCCCCTTTGACATCCAGTGTTAAGGGTCAGGAAATTCATCTCTGTATTAATTTGTGTATTCAGTGATGCTTGAAGCCATGTGCCTGCCCTGCAGTCAATCAATTTTAATAATAACACACCACTACTGTGGAAAAAATTAACGCCTCAATTTAATTAAACCTGCCTGTAACATTTTTACCATATCCCATAGCTCCCATTGAACTCAATAAGTGAATCCATCTTGTATTCACCTGTTTTTATCTGTTTTTGTTCCAGACGGTGGACATTCATAAAGAGAAAGTGGCCCGGCGAGAGATCGGGATCCTGACCACCAATAAGAACACAGCCCGGACTCATAAGATCATAGCCCCCGCTAACATGGAGCGCCCGGTCAGGTACATCCGAAAGCCCATAGACTACACGCTGCTGGACGATGTGGGCCATGGGGTCAAGGTGAGTGCGGTTTCCTTGGATTGTCTTTTTTGGTGGTGTTGTTTTTTTTTATAGTTTAACAGTTGCATGTGATTTGGCTTTTGAACTGCTTCTGAGATAGCAGAGTTTTACAGTAGGTTGCGTTCATGTTCTGGAATTTGATGATGTCATAATTTCAGACGGGGGACAGGGGCCTATATAACGCTATTTGAGATTTACAGATTACAGAAGAAATATGCAAACCTATGATCTTATGTTGAACTATATTATTATTTGTAAGGACTTGGCTCCACAAACTTGCTATGTTATTCTTGTGCGTTAAAGGTATTTCAGTGTAGTCTTTGGGATTGAAGCTAATATTATTTTCACTTTTGCTTATTTATGCGGGCAAACGAGACCTTGAGCTCTTAGCCAGTTTTTGCTCTTAGCCTAAGTGGATAGGCCCAGTAAATAACAGATATTAACCATAGACTAGGTCAACAAATCTGCAAATTCCACCATACAATTCTGACCTGCCCCAGCTCGATGTTACATTATAAAGATTCTATAAAATTGTAATGTCATTTGAACCCAACATATTTCTAATCAGGTTTGTGTTTTTTTTAAGCAATATTATTATTGTAGCTTGCTATATATATATATATATATATATATATATATATATATATATATATATAGCCCAACCGATATGGATTTTGCTGTGGCCGATATGAAACCAATATAATGGGAGTTGGCGCTGCCGATATAATCGCCGATATATTTAGTGATGTAAAAATTCACTGTAAATGTTGAATTGTTTAAAAAACTTAGGTTTGGCTCTGGTGGATTTTAAATTGGGTTTATTTAGGCAACATTTATTGTTATTCTGCCTCTTTACATCATATTTACAGACAGTAAGTTGGCTTAATGGCATTTTTGCATCACATTCTAGACACTAGTGATGGGTATTCCAGTTCTCTTTAGAGAACCGGCTCTTTTGGCTCGGCTCACTAAAAGCTGCTGGTTCTTTTGGCTCCCAAGTGGCTCTTCAGATTGTTTTGTTGCAAGCAGGACTAAAGCACGTCTAAAGCAGGACTGAATCAGGACTGAACCAGGTCTAAACCAGGACTGAAAAAGGACTAAACCGGGACTTATTTATTTTATGCTAAACTACAGTCAAATATGCTCGTTTTTTTTTTTTTATTATTATTATTATTATTTTTAATCCTACGTACACGCAAATTTCAAAGTTTCGTTTTTAGCCGCTGTCAAACCACGAGTCTGCACGCGGCGTGAAGAGAAAAAAAGTGAGAGAAAGAGAAAACACGGCTCCCAATAAGGATCAGGCTCCCGTCGTTCCCTTTAAAGAGCCGGTTCTAAGAGTCATTTCGTTCGCGACGGACCCATAACTAGTAAAGAAAGTAGCGCTATTAGCCTTTAGCCGTAAATACGTGCGCGCCGCGATAATTAATTATATGCGCAAATGTCATAATTCACACGTCTGTTCACAGCTCATTTACATATCAGTGCAGGTCCAGTAGCAAATATACTGCTAATATAGTCACTTTAGAACAGACCAATAGAAAACAGTCTGTTTATGTGCGGGAGCTACAGCAGCTAACCCATAACAAATGACAAAAACTAGCTTCAGAGTCGACATATTTCCAACACTCACCGCTCATACAGGCTCCTCCTCACATCACAAATCTGCACTAATAAATGTCCTTTTAATCCAGACTCAAACCGATTGTCCGTAAAAAGAATATAATCTCAGTGTTTGGATCTGTGTCTGCAGGTGTAAACAAACACACGTGAGTGACGCGACTCTGTGGTGTGTTCAGGGACAGTACGGACACACACAGACAAATGACCCCGTAGATAAATACTGATGTGGAGCCACATATTAGGACATTTATCTGTCTGTAAATTGGATTAAATGAACAGAATGTAGAGAGTCTAAGCTTTATAACGAGGTATAACATGCCCACGTGAAATATCGGCCCCTATCAGCAAGCATATCGGCCGATATAGCTGTCTGGCTCTAATATATATATATATATATATATATATATAATATAATATATATATATATATATATATATATTATTTATTTATATATTATTTTTGTATAAACTCTTTCAAGAATACTTTTTATCAGCCCACACCATACTACTCGATTTCCACCTCCTCTGTTCCTCCAATCTCCTCTCCTCCCCCACACCTATTTTTGCCCGAAGTTATTCCTTTCTCTTGTTTTTGATTTCTATCCAGTTTCTTTTTTCCTCACCCGCACTGAGCCTGGCAGAGCTTTTATCTCCTGCGTCGCTCCTGACCCACCAGAAGAAGGTCCCACGTGGGTTAGCGAGAATGGGCCGGGGGTGTAGATGGATCTCCAAAGCATTACATCACACAGAAAAAGACACTCTATTCTCAGCTGACACATATTCGCGAGACGTTTTTAAAAGCACTTAAAGACCCATCCTGCCCTCGTAATCTGCTACTCCGGCTTCTCGAGAAATCCTACAATTACATTTCAGGCTTTTAACTGTGTATTTTTGATGTTAAAGTGTGTTATTTAAAGTTTTAAGTGAATGTGGTTTGCTCGCTTTAGGGGGTCAGTGGGTTGTCCCGGCAACAGCTGCGCTGATATCATTTTCCCGATGGTGGCAGGCGATTGGTTCCCCGTTCAGTCCACTTCCCAACAATCAGCCAATCAATCACGGTTGTCACACAAATCAGATTAGAGAGCGGGCATCGGGCTCCAGCACAACCACGGACATTGATAAGTGAAGGATAAAAGCCATTGTGCCACTTTTGAATGTAGTCTCTATACAGGCTTTAGTGCCAAGAAGCTACTCTTAATGGGATGCTAGCAAAGTTTTTCCCACCAGTAGAAAGACATATATAAAACACTAAATGATATATAACAGATGTTAAGTAATATAAGTGTTTTACAGAGTCGTAGATCGTAAAACGTGGGTTGTAGATCTCAGAGTGAAACAGGGACTAAGGTTAATCTAAGAACCATTGTACGACCAAAGATGAGCTGCAACTGATATCAAGTGTCACAGATTTTTTTGTAATCTTGGTTGCAGAGTGAGCCCTCCTCTTACTGCGTCTGTGATCAAGCTCAAATATGTAACAGTAAAAAAAAAGCACTCTTCAGTAACAACTGGAGAGTATTGCTGGACAGGACACTTACTCTCATTTCCCGTATTATTCCTAAATTTTGCAAAAGTGAAAAAAACTGGGGCAATATCTCATGCCACACAATCTCACGAGACAAAAGTGCCACACATGAGAAAAAAGATTTTGAGAGATTTCTTTTTCATGTTTTTAGATTTGGATTGGATAGAAAATGGTTTTAACTGGTGAGTTTTTGAGAAGCTGTAGTTCCAAAAAGCAGTGCTAATAATGACAGCAGAAATATTAAATCAAGTAAATAAAATAAAAAATTGGGAACGGGATTGCAAAATTGATTTAGTATAAATATTGCCAAAATCTCATCTCGTCTTGTTCTCGTGAATCCAATCTCGTGTCTCGTCTTGTGGAAATTGTATCTCATCCCACCCCTAACTTGTACAACTAGCCTTAGCTAACCGAAACAACTTCTGTGACTTTACCACACAGAGACGTAGCCTCACTAGCTGCACTTGCACTGACTGGCTGCAGGTGCTGGGGTCTAGATGGCGAGTATTCAGATCAGAGAGTCCTTCTAAGATAAAACCATCTGGATTTCAGCTAAGTGGTTTTACGATTGAATACTTTTCTTAGAACCATATCCAGGACAAGAAATAATCACAGAAACAACTCGATTTTGTATCGTCATGTAATCTCACCACAGATCAAACCAACAACCTCTTACAATCTGCCAAAAGTTCAAGATTTGGGCATTCCATCTCACTACTACTGTCAACATTTTGTCACTTAACACTTAACCACAGACCGACATCAGCTTAACCCAACGCACTGGTTTTGGAATATCTGATGTTTGCATGGGCCCATGAAGTGTCAAATCAGAGGGATCCGGTTTTCTATACTACACACACTGATCTCCCATTCTCATATGCATGCCACAGCTCCGAGAAGCAGTCGATATTTGCCTCCTATATGGCATATTAATTCATGTATAATCCAGTACTGAGCTGTGGGATGCTCTGCCTGTGTAGAATCAGGCCTGTGCTCGCGGTTTACTTACTGACCTGATTCGATCGCTTAATGGCAGTTTAAATCATGTCTATCGCCCGGTGTTAGCCGGTAGCTCGCTGCAGGCTGCTAACTGGTCCTAATGCTGCAATGTTTAATAGCTTCACACTATCTTTAACACGGGGATAGAGCTGTTACTACTGAGAGGGAAGCCGTGGAACGCTGTGGTTTTTTTTTCTGTGCAAGACTGAAATACAACAGTTTAGGTTGAGGCTTGACAATTTTTAAAATTTTTACCAGATATAGGTAAAGATATGAAGTTTCCCAGACAGAAAAAATGTTCAATGTGTTTAGGAAAAATCACAAATATTTTTTTTTGCCATTTTGATTTAATGATGCTGATGCCTATCAAATGTCTTTTGCCATATATTATAGTCTGTTTAGTCCAGATAATGCTTATGCTAAATCAACAATAATTTTAATAGTGGGTTAGTCATGATTAAATAATTGTTGCGGACTTACTCTTCAATGACTTTCACTAGTTTTTAGTATCATAACTGGTGAGATTTACTCCTTACATCAGTTGATTCTGTCATCTTCTTAGAGGAGAAGAGGAGATCTAGAATTGATAGCGTCAGTTTTCACTCTGTTGTAGTCTTATGCACACTAGGCCTAAATATGCCTTACACTTAAAGGCACTGTACTGGATTTTTACTGTCTTGATATCCTAATTATCAGAGACCTAACAACAACTTGCATTCAACAGCGCACTTCCTGATTCTTAGAGGATAAACCTTTTAACAGTACATCTGTTCTGGAGTAAAACACATTTTGCTTAATTACACACAAAACAATTGGATAGAGCCACTTAAATACATTTACTTTACAGTATCGCCCTCTTCATGATATCGTAAATAGAATCTTCAGAATGAGAGAGTGACATTTGCCATTAGGTCTGACCCCTGTTGTTTAAGGGCTCACTTCCTCTATGACCCAGGCACAGTTTCTTTGTGCGGGTGATGGCGGTACTATGCTCTGAACACACACATACATACGCATATCTCTGGGATGCTGCATTATAGATGAGCCACTTGACTCTGCAGTTGTCAAAGTCTAGATCAAGCCCACTGCAGCACGCTTTCATATTCTCTGTGACAGCGGCCCACACAAGTCCCACCTCTGTGCCAATGCCAACTCTTGGAGCAAGGTGTGTGGGAACTGCATCATTGACCAAGTATGGGAAAAGCTTTTTGAAACTTTTTTACTGTGATATAAGGCACCAGATCTAGCTCTCATGACAAAAAAAAATCCCAGAGAATGGGTTAGTTCTATTTTATCATAACAATTACACTTTATATGACATAATGCTCCTGCTGGTTTCTGTGCTTATTTTGAAAATGTCCTGGCTGGAATCCATTGGAAAAAATACCTTGAACTAAATGTACTGATAGCAATATGTACCTTATTTATGTATTTCAGTTTCCTGTAAATAAGAGCCAATTTGAGAACTTCTCACAAATAATATTTGTTTTGAGTTGTCATTTGCTATAGCCACTGCGTAAATTTTTCCTCACTCCCATCAAAGCCATGAATACCTAACAGTTACACAGAAATGAACCAACCAAATGTAATTGAAGGCTAGATAAAGAATCTTCGGTGTTTTCGTTGCCGTCCGATGGGATCTGTGGTTCCGGGGCGTGGTGTATTTAAACAAGATACCACATCAGACTCTGCTCCCCTTTCGCTCTGACCTTGGCATCTCTTATCAATGTTTATTCTCAGTAAATAGCTTTTTTTGGTCCACTTTCCTTTGACGTGCTGTTTGGACATGGCCTTCTGACATGCACTCTCCCTGTCTCTCTCTCTCCTCTTGTGTTTTCTCTTCGCCCACACTAAGTGGTTAAAAGCTAAGGTAAGTCCGTTTGTCACATGACCCCTTTTGCTAGAATCTATTATTGATAGATCTCCTTTTCTACAGAAACCCCTTAAACATGACATCTTCCCGTTTCCATTAACTGTAGCCCTTGTAGTCCGGAAAACCTTACTCCCATTCATGTTGTCCATGTAGGAAGTAACCATGTGCATTTTGTAGTTGTGCATATATTTGTCACTCTGGTTGTAGACAAATTAGGCTGCTGCATTTCTGGTAGGGATTCATGCTTATTTCATAATGATTATAATGATTTTATATACATATACAAGTAATATTCAGGAAAACTAGTCACATCTCCATGGTATCAAATTTCTTGTAATACATTTGCTACTAAGCAACGCTACAGAAATGCAGGAACAGCCTATTTTGTTTACCCATAATAAAAGACTGTATGGGCTTCCCAGATGATCACAGGGATGACTGAACATGTCTGATGAAATTGTACAAATCCTGATATTAAAGGTGCACTGTGTTACTTTTCTGGCAGAGGGCCCGTTGTCACCTGCTCCTTCTAATGGAGATGCTGTTGCTTTGCCTGGAATGTTGCACCATGTTACATAAAAAATTAAATTACAGATTGTTTTGTTGCTACAAAGCATATGTACTATACTCTCTAAAGATCTGCAACTCTTCCTAGTTGGAGTCACATGCTTGTCTCCATGTAGATAGATGGATATAATGCCATACAGTGGAACTTTCCAGGCAAAGTAATAACATTTCAAGCCAGTGGCAGACTCTAATGAAGTTACATAGTGCACTTTTTAATTATTTGTCAATAACCTCAGCCATGTGTAAGCCCCAAACTACAATCAGGTTACACATACTAATTACGTAACATTTAAAATATTACCTCAAATAAAATATCCACACAGGTCCTCCTGACTCCTGTTGACACATCTGGGAAGCTTAGAAGAATTAGATGTTGGTTACATGAAAAGTGTGTAATCTATATCTTTTTTTTTCTTGTAACTACAGCAACATGGCAACAACCAATCGATCCGAGGCGGGACACTGTCAAGGACCAACCCGCCCACACAGAAGCCTCCCAGTCCCCCCATGTCAGGGCGCGGCACGCTAGGGTAAGCTAACCATCTCTGTCATAGTGATGGCAACACTAATCCTGTCATTATGAAATAGTGGAAAAAAACGTTGCTTTTCGTGTGGGCGACCAAGGAATGGGCAGAGAACCGTGTCTGGTTGTAGTTTGAGAGACACCCTTGAGGCAGTTCACGTTTAATTTGTCTGTTCATGTAATTTTATAGTGATGTGAATGAAATCAGAAATTGCAGAAAGGCTAAGTGTAGACTCTGGATCACACTGCGCCTGTCATCCTTTGGTATAGAGCACTTCTGTAATCAGATATTAATTCCTCAGCTCTGTAGCCAGCTGTGTAAAGTGATATGATTTACTAAAGCCTCTACTATGCTATGGTGGGAGCATACAGTCTCAGCATTTTGGTTCAATATGTACATTTTTAGTTGTCCTAAAGGCACTAATGTTATCATTAATTCAACAGATGATGGGGCACTGTGAGCGATAAACAAGATGGTAGCTTGTATTCTTATTTGTGAACTGTACAGATGAAGTGAGTGTAGCATAAATGAGTAAGGATTTACCATTCTACTACAGCTGGAAACTAAAATCTTTACTTGGTTCTACTATATATGTTTACAACATTTAGTTTAGTGCTTCTAAATAAAACGAGAAGTACTTGCCTCACTTACTTTTTGGTACATGGGCACCAAGACTTCTTGTAAGATTGAAATAATACATGTTCTGTGTTCCATACAGACGCAACACATCATACAAGACCCTAGAACCAGTGAAACCTCCCACAGTGCCCAATGACTACATGACCAGCCCGGCCAGACTGGGCAGTCAGCACGGGCAGCAGAATAGCCCCGGGCGCACGGCATCACTCAACCAGAGGCAACGCACACACAGGTACTGCACGAGGAACTTGCCTATCACAGTAGACAAGGGGACTGTGGTCTAATAACCACATAGACAATACTGTTTTATGGAGAGGTTATAGCCTGGATTATTCTACAGTAAGGATTTTAAAATAACCATCTCCATGAAGACAAGCATGTGGCACTACCAGGCCAAGTTAGAGGTCAGATCTGGGAAGAGGCGACCTTGCTTACACTGAGAACGCATGTTTGCAAATCTTTGAGCAAAAAAATCACCTGAAATTTAATTATGACAAGATAGATTTTAATATCATATTGTGTAACATTCCAGACCAAGCAATGTCATTTCCATGAGGATGAAGAAGTCAGATCGTCCTCCAGAAAAGTTACTTACTGTGCACATTTAAAAAATATTTTTTTATCTATTCATAACATTCACTTGCCTAAAATGCTATTTGGTTGACATACTGTATGCCATAATTGTTTTTGTAATAAAGTAAATTAATGTTAAAAGGGAAATAAACAGCAAGTGAATGGATATTGTCACAGTTCTTTCAAAGCCAATCCAACAATGTAGTACAACTTGTATTGGTTCAATGCTGAGTGCACAGCTAGAAGTTTTAAGCTATTTCCAAGCGACGAGAGATTCATCAGTGACAAACTAGTTTCAATTTTATATTTATTTATTTGCCATTGATATGCAGGACATTTACCAAAACAACCCTTGCCCAAAACTTCTCAAATTCATATATTCTGTGGCATTTTCTAGTTTGTATGCAGACTTCCTTTTGGTTATGCATGACCGGTGTTAAGAAGTATTCTGCTACACCTTGAAATTCAACTCTCACATGTAATGCAAGAAAGCATCTCTTCAGACCCATTAGTCCTCTCTCTGTCATAGGCTTAATCTGCGTCTTCGTTTCAGCAGCTTAGAGCACTTTCACTCCTCTGTCTCTGCTAAACCCTGCTGCACTTGTTTTTACATGACTTGCATTTTTTTTTTCTCCAATCTCTCGCATATTAATGTCTGTGGAAAAGCTTTCAAGGAATTTCCAATGCTTTCATCAAATCTGAATTATGATGTGGCTGTCTCATTAGCTAAAAAGCTGCTATGCTGACTTGCACAGCTTGTAGAAATGATATTGTATTGGTTAGCATGTTTGTTGCTATGTAGGCTGTAAGTAAGGGGTAAATGGTGGCGCTATGGTAACATTTTAGGGTTAAAAATAAAAATTCACGCAACAAGAGGTCAATTAATCAAACATGATTAGTTTTATTTGAAGACTTAATGAGCTAAGAGGCATGGCATTGTAATTGTTGTAAGAATAGGAGTAGTAAGAGTAGGAGTAGGATTGGTAAGAGTAGTAAAGGTAGTAGTAACAAAAAATAATATATTATAGCTATTTAAAGGTTGGCTGTGTAACTTTTCTGGTGAATGTCACATCACCTGCTTGTCTCCATGGAGACAAGCAGGATTATGGATTTTATTAATTAGCCTGGAATGTTCCACAGTATGTCTAACTTTTTTTTTAGTATCAATGTTTTTATTTCCCAAAAAAATACCTTGAAAAACGTTAGGGATGTAACGATATCCAAATCTCACAGTACAATATTTTCACGATGTACATCTCACGGTACTGTATTTATTGCAATAATTTGTGGATCCTAAAAAAATTGTGAATATGCTACTTTTTCCTCTTAAAATGCCTTGACAAGACTTAATCCAAAGAACTAAGCTTTAGAAGTGCTTGTAACTGCTATTTCTTCATGTAGTTTGCACCAAAACAGAGCAAAAGATCATGGTCGATGTAGTTCCCTCATTTTTTTAGCTATTGCTGTACCATAACAATGAATTTAAGCAAAGAAACTTGTGATTCGGTATATTGTGATGGCCTACGATATTATTGAGAGACTTTTAACGATACGATATCACAATATTTTGGTTACTGTTACACCCCTAACAAACATGCATTCTTTCTCTGAGCGGAGTCATCTGCTGTATGACTTGGCCTGGCCGTAACGCACGTCTCCATGGAGATGAATAAGTTTAATGCCATAGTGTGGGACATTCTAAGCAAAGAAATAATATCTTCTTTGAGATGTGGTGGGCCTATTGAAGTCATCTACTGAAAAGGTCTAAAATCATAGTCATACCTACACCATCATAATGCTATTTTTAGGTTCATTTTATTTATATAGTTTGATTTAATACATCCTTTATTAATCTTATCGGAAGCATAACTTTTAGACATTTTTAAAATCTTAAAACGTATTCCTGACCTCCTCTCCGCTCCCTCCTCTCAGCTGCCCTGTGAGTGACCAGTGCCCCCTCTCCTGCCTCTGCCTGTATTGCTGTGATGGGGCTATTTGATTATCCTGGCTCAGAGTCGCTCATGCTTATTCAGCTCATCAGTCTCTGCCATCTCTAGCTCAGGTTTAAATTCAATACAAGAGTCTGCCTGGGCCTCCTAATGTCTAATCTTCTTTTCCAAGTAAAATTATCGCCAATAGCTGACAAGACCTTAGTCATGTTCACAGACAGTAAGTCAATTTTAAACTGACAATGAAAAGGAAAACCAGAGTAAGAACATGTAAAAAAAAAAACCAAAAAAAACACACGCACAAAACATATTTAAATAAGCCTTTCATTTGGCATTTTTGTCAGTTTAATATGTTATATCAGAATACTACCATTATTATTACTATAGGCAAAAGAGCAATTGCTACCAAATGGCTATATTACGTTCAGCCACTTCCTCCTCTTTTATATGGGCCGTGGAGATACATAGTTGCTGCACAAGATTCTACACATTTTAAGAGCTTTTGCCAGAGCCACGCCTCACCCCCTTTTAGTAGATTAATTGATGAACTGGGTGTGCTTTTAGTTGACCAAGAATTTCTCACTATTAGGACTACAGCCCTCACAAATACCTTAAAGCTCTTTTATTACAGAAAATTTACTTTTGTGAGCTTTTGGCCATGTTAGAATGTTATTACCTCCTCAAATACATACCCGAAGTTGTCTGTTGTTTCTTTCACACGTTTGAGTAAGCCTTTAGTATTAGTCTGTCTACATTTACAAAGCTCAAAATGCTCTGTTCAACCTTGTTATGTCACGTAGTGGCAGTTTTCAAGTGAACAGCTACCTTTTACCTCTAGTTCAGTAGAGATTGGCAATTCCAGGGCTGAAATCATCCAAATGATTCTATCGAAGGTGAATGGAGTTTAAAACCCAGTTGAAAATAGCCCTTTAATGTCTGTTACTTTAAATATTACCTCTTCAAAGCAGTGCACTCTTTTTCATGCCCATAAAAGTGAGTGTTTTTTAAAATTTGTGATATAATTTTATTTTTTTTAAATTAGATTTTCGATTCAGTAATGATTCCATATCTTATTATCTTGTTTTATGTGCAATTATTCACATTAGCATTAGTATATTGTATTTGACTGTCCTTTGCTGTGTTATCAAAATCCTCAAAACTGTTCACTAGAGAAAGGGATAAACGGTTTAGTGAAGGAACGAGTAGGTTAGCGAGGGATTAGGAAGGATCAGCTCAGAAGATGAGTGCAAAGGGAGGAGTAATACTGCATTCACTACACAAATACTCAATGATATGATGGTACTGTATTGGCCTCATTCACACCGACGCTTCACAATCAACCAACATCCTTCAGAGCACCCAACCCCTGCTGTTCCAACCCAACTGCCTAAGGGCCCTACTGACACGAATCGGAGAGAGGGACACGATGGAAATAGGATCAAAAATAAGGGGGTAGAAAAAGTACTAGATGGGTCAAGGGTGCATAGGATCAAAGTAGGGGGGAAACAGAGGTGAGGGTTGGGTTAGCTGAGAGATCAAGGATAGCAAGGGGGATTTAGCTGTAGTATTGATCTACAAGGGCCTAGGGTCAAAGTAAGCAGGGGGATACAAGGAACTGCTGACATACATAGCATTCACATGGTGACCTATATTTAAAGGCCACTACAGCCCTATTGACAATCTATCTATGATGGGATCGGCTGTGAACGGGGTTAGGGGGCGGGGTAACTGGGGTATAGGATGCCCAATTGCCCATGGTATAGAATATTTGTAAGGCAGCATTTTGAGGAAGCCAGTTGCCATAGTTTTAGTAGTAGTTCTGATTGTAAATGCAGTTGTAGTTATTGTGAGTTAGTTAGTTGTAGTAGTTGGAGTTTTATTTCATTCTAATTGTGAAAGATATTGTTGTAACACAGCCATATTTGTTACATTAAATATTAATGATTTGTGCAGATATTTTCTATACAGCCAGGTCTTATATGCTACAAAATGCGTAACATAACATGCATGTTACAATGTTGCTTGTTCCTTAAAAACCTACCTGGAGTTGTTTTAGTCACACATGTTTGAGTAATCCTGATTTATTAGTCTGTCAGGATCCCCAAAGCTTGAAATGCTATGTTCTGTTTTGTGATGTCATGAAGCTGTAGTTAGCAGAAGTTAACCTTTTAACATTAGTTCAGTAGAGATGGGTAATTCCAGGACTGAAATCATCCAAATGATTCAAGTTAAAAGCACAGTATAGCACTTCCTGTATTACCAAATGACAACACAAGTTGGAACAGAGTGTTTTCTGTTTAAGAGAAGAACACTGCCTGAATATACAAGGTTTGTGTGTTAAACATGTGTGAATGAAATAAAACACAACTTCAGGTATGATTTGCTAAGGAAACAACATTATAACATATATCAGAAAATAGTGGAATATGGGCCCTTTAAATTTATCTGGCATTGCGCTATATATATACACACACACACACACACACACTCATACATATACATATATATAAAAAATATGAACTAGAGACATGTTTCTTGCGCACATCTCAATTAAGCAACACATGACTGGTTTGAAATAACATAGTATTCTATCAATAATAATATTTATAGCCGTACACTCTGCACACGCCGATGATATGTCTTTATACTCCCGTTTATAAATCAATGAGTGCATGCTCCCCCATGAGTTTCTAAGGCACCAGTCAACCAACAAATCAATGTTTAATAAAAGTGTGAGTCTACCAGATGTATTTGCCTTGGTATGATTGTATTTCCCTGTTATTAATCCCAGTCCAAACCCATGTGCTCTGCTCTCTTCAGTGGCAGCAGTGGGGGCAGCGGCAGCAGAGAGAACAGCGGCAGTAGTGGGATTGGCATTCCCATCGCCGTGCCAACACCCTCCATCCCCAACTCTGGACAAGGTGAGATCACTTTTACAATCTATGTGATGGATTAGGGATTACAAGTTTTTCTTCCTGAGATTGTGACGTTCCCATTTAAAAGTTTGTGGCCTTCATTGAGTGCCGTGTCTTTGTCTATTACTTGCAGTTTTGCTGCTTAGTAAAGCATCGATCCCTGTCTTATGAACATATGATACAGGCATATTAAAGGCGCTGCACCTGATTTTTACAGTCAGAAAAAGCATGAAAAACAGTTAATTTCCAAAAGTTATTTCTCACCTCCCTAACGCATTCCTATCATCCTAATAATTCACCACAACTTTATAAGCACTTTCAGAGGCCAGAACAGAGCTTTGCTGTCACACCATGCTAATGTTAAAACAACTAGCATGCTAACAGTGTCCCAGCATTACTTCCTGATTTTCATTTAATGGGAAATGCATACTGTTCAATAATAGTGCATTACAAAATCCATATACACGCAGTGACTTGGACTAAGACAAACTATTGATCCACAAGGGAAATTACTTGGACACAGTAGCTCAAAGATTAGAATGCATGAATAGTTTTTAATAGCAAAGAGTGCTTGAATCATAGTTATTTTACCCCAATCACTGAGCTGTTTATATTAAATTACACTTGCTCGTTGAATAAGAATGCACAATACAGATTTCCGTTCCATAGCTTGACAGGCCACATGTGTAAATTGCTGCTGCAGAGGCAGTGAGTGCGTTCCACAAAGCCTATGTTTACCAGACAGAGGGATTATGCCGGCCCATTGTGTTCTGAGCACAGCTGATTCTCTATCCTACTGTGTAAATAGGCCAAGCCGCGTTAGGCCTGCAGCACCGCGAGCTATACAGTAGTTCCACATACTGAGACCTTCATCTTGATATAACACATAACATCTTACATTTTGTATGAGATTTTTGGGGGATGCATTTAAAAGTCTTACCTCAAAGTCAGTCCTGAGCTTCTACACCTATTGTCCTGGAGACCGTGTTTATTTATTTATTTTTTTGGATCCCCATTAGTTATTACTGCAGCAATAACTACTCTTCCTGGGGTTAACATAAAAGACAGACAGACAAGTACTAGTTTTTTTCTGTGTATGTTGCCATTGATTACCAATACTTCGATAAACCTCCTTTTTTGCAACAAAATGTTCCTAGGACTACTTCTTATATGGATTTAGAATTTTGCAATTTTTTTTTTTATTATGGACTAGATCTGGATCTGGTGTTCAAAGAGTATGTAACCTCATAATTTGAGAGTTGTGTAAGACTACATTTTTGTCTTGTGGATTATTAGGTGTAGACTATGGGTTGAGACATACCTGTAAAATATTATGTTAAATCTAACTACAGTACTTGTTACAGTGACCCCCATGTCAGCTCCTCCAGGGGTGCCCCCTCCCCCTCCTCCCCTGCCTGGATCAGCTCCACCAATGGCAGCACCACCACCTCCACCACCTCCTCCTTTAGCACCCTTAGGTGAGAGTCTGCACCCATTCAGGACACGCCTGCTGGACCTTGGGTGCTCTAACTGGTGGTGGTGGCTGAGCACAGTCATGGGTGTACAAGGGTGACAGGGGAACTGAATGGGATTCTTATGTCCACACTGCAAGCATGAACCCACATAATATAAATACCTAAACATTAATGACATCTCAAAATGCCCAAAGTAAATCCGCTAAGCGTTTATGTTAAATAGTTAAGTTTTGTGCACTCATGCATGCACTGTGGACATCACTTTGGGCTAAACACCTTTAAAATGATATAAAATTATTCCAATGATTTCCCCCAGCATTCTTTGTGGTGATGGCAGTTTCTTTTGTTATATCAATGTGCCAGAAGAAGTCTCCTCATTTTAAATTCATACAAAGCTTTCTATTCACCTTGCTGTGAGCCAAATTCTTCTTGCAGAATGACTGAAAGTCACTATTATATTTGCTGTTAAAAAGCTTTAGGAAACTTCCATAACTTTTTAATTCACTCCTTAGCAGCATGAGACGCTATCTGCATTCTTGCTTTCTTCCCTGATCTTTTAACAGCCAATAATACAATGGTTTCTGGGTAATGGGGTTCTGAATCATGTGAGCAATGTCACAACAGTTTGTTTTTTGTTTTTTTGTTTTTTTTATCAGGTTTGTCCATTTGTTTAAATACTGTTTGTATGTTCTTGTATGTGATTGCAATGGTCACTTGAAAAACTTTTATCTACTGGATACATTATTGTTTGAGTACAATGTTTTGCGTGCAAATCCGGGGCTCACCCATCTACATGTGTGATAAGTTTCTTCTGTGAGATGCAGAGATTTAAACAGGAAATACTGGAGATACTGGCATTGTCATTTGAGCTGAAAAACAGAACTTAAAACAGGTTGTTGTTGACTGAATTCAATGGTAAGACTGGTTCCTGGGTCATGAACTTGCTGCTGCCCTGTTCACTCTATTGTCTCTGCTAAGTAATTTCCCAGTTTTTCTCCTCACAGGTTTCATCAGACGACCTCTTGGGGTGCAATCAATGTTATTAATTATCTGTCATTATTGCCTCGATGATTCATCTGCTTTTCTGAACCTGTAGTGTCAAGCTGAAATCTAGAAAAAAAAATATTTTTACCATCATTATCATATTTTTGCTTGTTTCGATTTTTTATTTATTTTTTATTTAGATTGGGATGCGACCAAAAGATATCTATATAATGACTTTTTGGGTAACTTTGAGCTTGACACTACTTCAGAAAATATTCGCAATTGCCTCTTACTGCATCAAAATTGCAATCATTTGAATAAACTCGATCACTGTAATAATTTGGATGCTCTGCTTGCTTGCTAACCTCTCCATGTTTCTCCCCCCTCTGCTCTCCCTCTTTTTCCCCCTCTCTGTCTTGTCTCTGGGCTTCTGCAGCAGTGGCTCCCGGGCCTGGCCTCGGTCCTGCTCCCATGTCCCAGTTTGGAACCATGTCGCGGCAGATCTCGCGGCACAACCCCTCCAACTCGTCCGTTTCCATGGTTTCGGCCACGGGCACCTATCGCCGTGCGCCCTCCGTCACCTCGCAGTTCTCACTACAACAGCAACAGCAGCAGATCCAGCAGATCCAACAGCAGCCTCACGTTAATGGGGGCACACCTGGTTACGGCCAGAACTCAAGTAAGGACATTCGGAGTCCAGTGAAAAGTGAGAGGAAATGGTTGGAAAAAGCACTGTTTTTATTTAGGCCAGTGTTTCTCAAACTGTCCAACTCCTTAATCTTTGTTTAGAATTACCTCGTCCATGGTTTAGTCTTATTTGGACCATATTTAGAGCTAATTTTGACCTGATATAGTCTGGGCTTAGCTGAGAAAGCCAAATATTATCTTGGGTAGCAAAGAAATGAACGTGCTATGTTCACATTTGTCCTGGTTTAGTCCTGGTTTAGATGTGGTCTAGTCTAGGGTTAGTTCCAGGTTTGGTCCCGGTTAAGTCCCAGTTTTGATGCTACTTGAGTACAGCCTTATCCACTGTGTTTCCAGTCACAAAGTAAAAGCACAGGTAAATACTAAATAGGGGTGGACAATATGTCAAAACATTAATATGGCAATCTTCTTGGAGCCAGAATACTCTTTAATATTGTATTAAAGAGGCAACAAAAAGTCATCTGCTTTTTCTGAAATGTCACACTTTGGTGGTTAAGTCTGACCAATAATAGTTGGCATGGGAAAAGGTTTGTTGAAGCATAGAATATATAGCACATTATCACAGGTAAGAGATTATGTTTCGCTTTTTATCACCATAATTATCCAGCCCTATTACTTAAAGCTGAAATACATAAATATGTTGGTTGCATTACTGTGCGAATGCACCCTAATGGTGGTGGTGACTGCGCTTTTTTATCTATAAAATTTACAGTTGCAAATTTCAATTTCAACATTGTTTAAATGTAGTTTAACAGACAAATACTAGCTTGGCAACACTTAAAATACTCATATTAGGGTTCAAATACAAGAATGATGTCACTATGCACAAGCCATAAGTCATTTCTACTTCCTGCATCTTTCTCTCTCCACTGCCTCCACCATCTTTTGTAACAATTACCACTAAGAACTGCTTGATTGACAGAATTCAGCTGTTATCCTGGTTTATCCCACGTCCTCAGTGATCCCAATGCTGCAATCACAGACCTTGTTGAACTTTTCAGACAACTTTCAGCCATGTCACTATAGTGAATTCACAACAGCACTTTGCAAACCTGTATTTTTGATTACACATTTCGATTTCTCTTGTCTCTTCCCTCTGTCTCCTCCTCTCTCTCCTGTGGCTTGCAGTGCCCATGGCCCCCCCTCCGCCCCCCATGCCACAGCTGACTCCACAGATACCTCTGACTGGCTTTGTGGCCAGGATGCAGGAGAGCAGTAAGTGAAGTGGTCACATTTAGCATGCCGCCTCTTTTCCTCTCATACCTCTGCATGCTTTTTGTGCTCGATCAGCTATTTCTCTCTGTCCATTCAATTCAAAACCAACATAACTCTTCACGTACTAATAGCAACAGTGGACTTATTACAACAATATGAACAATGTATTATAATAGCATTAAGTGTGATCTGTCAAGGGATAACATATTTCACATGACTAACACTGTAGCCATTAGTCTTTACAGTTTTATGACACTGTGGTGATCGTATACTGAGAATTAATAGGGCTAAAGTTAGTATTGAATTTGCTGTGCTGCCCTCCACTGGTGACATAGCCTCACTGCCAATTCAAAGACAGGCCAAGAATAAGTGTTTACACCTGTTTTGCCATACAAGCCATAGTGTCTCATTCATACAGTTTTAAGGTCCCTTGATATGAACTAATAAACTAATTATAACAGATTTTTTATGTGTCTACAAAAGTAATATGGTGTTGTAATATAACTACTGTAATTGTGATGCAAAATATACCAGTTATAATTGAATAACTTGAAGTATTCTTACATTAAATCATAGTGTCAGTTGTCCAGTGTTGTCATCTGTCAAGACCTCACTAACTTACTCATAACTAACTATAAGCATGACCTTAAACATAAAAATACTATAATTACTACTAATACTGCATTCTAATCCAGTAACATTTACAGAGTAGAGCCTGGCTTTGTGATCAAGTATGACACTGCGAGAAGGGATATCTTCGTATCAAGTTATGAATTATTTGAATTCAGAAAAAAATCTTGATTTGAACAGTTTTGAAGAAATTTGGAGTTTCGATTTCTTTACGGTCAAAACTTTTGAATTTTGTTGTAAATTTTGACTGTTTTCATGACGTAAAAATACTAACAAATCTGATACGTTGCAAAAATATCCAACTACCTGCATCAAAACTTTGTAAATCAAGATTCATATTCTGAAGTCTTTTTCGTTCAGGTAGTAGTTTGTAGTGGGCTTTCTTTAATATCTCTTCTCTATTAGTTGCAGACACCCCAACCCCGCCTCCCCCGCCCCCTCCTGACGACGTGCCCATGTTTGACGAGTCTCCACCACCCCCTCCTCCTCCCCCGGTGGACTATGAGGAAGAGGATGCAGCCGTGGTGCATTACAGTGACCCCTACGCAGATGGGGATCCTCAGTGGGCCCCTAAGAACTACATAGAGAAAGGTTTGCTAAAAAAGACATTCATGTATTATTTACACAGGGTTACTACGGGCCACTGGCAAACAGAATGGACTGTAGTAGTAGTAAAAGTCATCGGAGTGGATGAAAAGTTAATGGCATTGACTTTAGGTGGGTTTGAATTCTGATGGTACACACACCTACCGTAAAGTTGAAGCATTCACAGTATTGAATGTATTTTATAGTGTTTGTGATTGGATCTATGAGCTTTGACACTGATTGGATCTATGAGCTTTGACACTGAAACTTAAACAAGTACAAGCTTTTGGGATAAGGTTTAAGAGTAGGTTTAAGAAGACCACATGCTACCACCTTTCTTTTATATTGACAAGACCACACGCACTCAAAATTTGGTCAGTGAAAATTTGCCTGAAATGTATTGAAATGTATTGAAATGCAACTACTAGAATATGAAAAATTGAACTTCAAACTGTGTGTGTGTTTCTTTACTTGAGAACCCAAGGACAGGGTAGACCTCCACAAAGGTATCAACATTTGTAGAGCCATCCTGAAATTGTACTGGTGAAAATTGTAATCACAAGGCTATAGCAAAATTATCCTTATATTTTTTGCATTATCCACATTGCCAGTAACTAATATTGACAAGTGATGTCATGTTAATGTTATTTCCTTACAGTGCCTAATATATTGATTTATTTTTATTTGGTATATTAAAATAGCACAAAAATCAATAAAAAAACATTATTGAATGGCCAATATTTTCTCCTATGATCCGACCCTTAGTCTAAGCTTGCATTTACAAAGCATTTTGTCCCTTTCCAGTGGTTGCCATATACGACTACACTAAAGACAAAGATGACGAGCTGAGCTTCATAGAGGGCGCCATCATTTATGTGGTGAAGAAGAACGATGATGGCTGGTTCGAGGGCATGTGCGGCGGCGTCACTGGCCTCTTCCCTGGAAACTATGTGGAGAGCATCATGCACTACGCAGACTGAGGGACCTGCTCACTGTCATATCATCTACACAAAACCAACCACCGCCACCACGCTAATCAAAGGAACATCTACTTGAGTTTGAAAATGACTTGAACTGACTTGAATAGTTTGAAAAGGTTGGAACTATTTACTTTAGCTGCATTCATACTTCCATACACCACATTAAAACCAGGACTTAAATGTTGTCTGGTTTAGTTCCAGTTAAGTAGGTCTACAGCAGCATTAACCAGGACTAAACCAGGACCAAGCCAAGACAAGTGTGTGAACACAGCCTTGGTTACATAATGCTCCACTTAGCAACTATATTTCTAATTTGTTTCATATTTTTTATTTCAGTTGATTAAGAAAAATAGCTTGAAAACCAAAATGTCTAGACATAACATCACATCTAGTCATGACTATATTTTAATAAAATCATGATTGCCATTCACATTCAAGTCACTTTTTCTCTTGTAGATATTTCTTTGTTGCAGCGCTAACTTAAGCAAACCCAACTGTAAGATCTCATTTTCATATGACCGAATGTTTCTGTAATTTGAATCTCTATTTAGTTTATTTTGGTGTTATTTGGGCAAATGGGGGACAATTATGTATGGAATATGTAAAAAAAAGTTATTAAAGTATCAGACTGCACAGCTGATGGTCACACTGCTGAAGGATGTCGTCCCAGAGATTTCCTAATAGTGAACAAAAGTACTGAATGGCACCTTCCAATGTTTGTACTTGTAAATAACCGCTCGAGGTTACTTCAATGTCAATGCAGTGAATGTCCAAATATACAGTATAATACTTTTCTCCAGACTTCAAATGGAACAAAGGGTACACTATGTAACTTTCCTGGTGAAGCGTCCATTTGCCACTTGCTTGTCTCCATGGAGATGTTAGTGCTATGCCTGGAATGTTCCACAGTGTGATATTACACTTAAATATTAAGCATAGCTCAAAAATACCTTGAAAAACAAATCCACAAATGTGACTTGTAACTTGACCTGTTAGGGTTACCTGCCTGTCTCCATGGATAAGTTTAATACCATAATGTGGAATATTACAGGCAAGACAAGCAGGTGGCAAAAGTTACGTATTCTCCCTTTTAATACAGACTAATGCTAAACAAATGCTAAATGTTTTGGAAGCCGGACTACTGTTGAGAATCTTGTTGGTAAAGCATGCAAAATTATAAGATATAACGTAATCTGAATTTGTTGCCATTTTTGTATTATTTTAATACACTGTTTTTAAGGTGCTGAAGAGACCCATACTTCTTTTTCTAAATTATTTCACATAAAACGTGTTTTTGTTTTTTTAACATCACACATTCCTTTTAGGTTAGCATTTTAAGATGATTGTCATGTCACTGTATTTTAAAGGAGATAAGTGATTTCATTCATTGGTCTTTTGACGCTTTTTCTTGGTTGTATGCTGAGAGATTGGGCCTAGACACATCTTACCAGATGTACTTCATTTTAATCAAGCTACTTGGCGATGTTTTCTAAAAATACTGTGTCTTCTATTAGTTTTGACCAATTTTCAGTTTCTCAAAGCATGCCAAAGTTGACAGTAAAAAATCCATGTCCAACAGGTAACAATGGAACAATTGAAAGCATGTTGAATAGCGTTAGTGCTATAATGCTTTTAATATAGAAAAATTTCACCTATGTTAAAGTGTGTGGTGAAAAAGTAACTAAGGTTTTTGAAACATTTAAAAGACTAAAAGGAATAGACATAGCCAATTAATTGCTGCCAAAGTTATTCAGAATGACATCCTAGGAGTTCTTTAATGATTTGGTTCAGCAGGTGGTGTGCAAGTTTTTTACGCTGAGACTGGTGCCAGACTGCTGCGTGACATTTCAGACATAACCAATTTAGTTTGTAGACCTCCTTTCAAAAGCAGTGCTGATGAATTTCTGAACCACAATTGATGGAGTAGAGTGGATGTGATTAACTTTTACAATCAACTTCAACCATACAGTGTCTCTCAGGTGCTAGCTATTGACATGGCTTCCCACAATGTGTTCATCATTGCTCTTCTTCATTCTATTGCTTTTGCCCAGTATGCTATTCAAACCAATGAAAAAGGTGGAATTAAAGTAGTCTTTCAGCCCTTTTTTGTATATAATGTGTTGATTGAAAATTTAATGTACAGTCTTTTATAATAAACAATTCTATGTACAACTTGTTCTTGTTTTGAAGTAATGATTGAGACAGAGTTTAAAAAAACATGATTTATTGAGCACACAGTCTTGTGGATGTTAAGGCCATTGCTGATCCAGAGCACCTTTTGTATATGTGTAGGGAGTTTGGCCTTTGTAATGTGGACGGAGCTCAACGTTTATATCAGTCCAACAGACACACCAATGAAGACAAGCTTAAGCAACATTGACTGCTTGTAACCAACCATGTACTTAGGTTACCTAGTCCAAAGCAAAGAGGCAAATGGATACAGTACTGTAAGCATTTAAGGTGTAGGCTGCAGTGCCATACATTAATTTCAATGTACAGAAGTGATTTAATTCAGTGTGTGGATATTTAGTCCACTTTAAATTCAAGTGAAATGTCCTCTTTGTGCAGAGAGCTCAAAAGCTTGTCAGTCCAAAAAAAACGTTGATCAGATCCACACAGCGCTCCAACTGGACACTGCACACGAGCCTAGAGGGTGCTCCTCTGGTCCTGGACCAGCCCGCGGTGCACTGAGCCCAAACTGTGGGGCTGGTAGCTGCCTGAAGTGAAGCCTGGTTCTGCAGGTTCATTTGTCCCTGGAGAGCACCATCTCAGTGAGTCGAATCAGGGCATCCCTTTCCGGGGAGGGCCGCAGCAGGCTGATCTGTCTGATGGCCTCCTGACAGTAACGCTGGGCCAGGAACCTGGTCTGCTGCACACCGTCACTCTGAATACAAGAACAGACATCAAGTATAAGATACTTGGTCCTACACTTTACAAAACACTTTTTAAAATCTAATTATACCTGAAGAACGTACTGCCAGGCCCGATCTACGTCCCCTGTAGAGCTGAAACGCCTCATGATCATTGCATGAAGCTCAGGAAACTGCGGAAAAAATATTTTTAAAATGTCAGCACATAGCAGCAAAAATGTAAGCATGAATATAGTAGTGTCTACATTTCCACAATTTGGACAACTATGAACAACCAGGAGGATCTGAGTAGAAGTACTTTGCTCTGTACAGTATGCTAGCACTGTATAATGTAGTGAAGTGTGACTTCAGTTTCTGCAACAGAATTGATTTGTTGATGCACCACCTGTTGACACGCGAACAGTACTGGTCCAGTGGCCAGGCCCAGTTTGAGGTCTGCAGCTGTGGGCTTCCCCAAATGACTAGCTCCTGATGTGAAGTCCAAGACATCATCCACCAGCTACAACATGGAGACAAATACATCCTATTTCTGTGTCACATTTTCAAATCTCCAGAAAATCTATCACAGACTAATAACAACTTACCTGAAAAGCTATTCCGACATTTCTTCCATAGTGGTAAGCAATTTCATGAACTTCTGGATCGGGGCTAGCAAGGATTGAGACCTTAAAAACACATTACACGCAACCGTGAATAAAGTATAGTAAACATACAAATGGAGACGCCTCTCCATCTGGGGGTATTCATGCAAAGACAGAACGTACATACTGCTTTACAACTGTTGGCGATGAGACTGGCCGTCTTTTTGAAGGTTTTCTCGAGGTAGTGTTTGAATCGCTCATTCTCGTTTTCTTTTGAGCCCAGCTGCATGAACTCTCCTTGTATGCAGAATGAGATTATTGGGTCAATATGAAGACTCCATCTTGTATGCAAAGCATGATTGAACATTAAATTATTAATTTTCATCTATATTATTGTTCACCTCGAACAAGATCCTCTATGACCTGAGACAGCACTTTCACCACTGAGATATTACCGATTCGAGCCAGAGCCATGGAAGCCACTGAAAGGATAAAATCTCCAGCCAAGATGGCCTAATAAGCAGAACAAACACTGATTAAATATTCAAATGTTCATTCAGCTTGTACAAAGGTTAACAATAGAACTGGAGTCTGTAACACAACACCTTTCTTTCCCCCCACACTTCATTGACGGTTCTTTTGCCTCTGCGCTGATCGGATCCATCGATGACGTCATCGTGCACCAGGCTGGCAGTATGGATCATCTCAGAGATCATAGCGATGGTCCTCTGTCCTGGAAGCAGGTCTCTGCAAGAAAACCCATGTTCAAGAAATCTTATAATGCCATTTCTTAATTCCTCTATTAACCCATTTAAAACTTTCTCTACATCAACTTGGCAAATTATAATTACACATGATATTACGATTCCTTACTTGTGGTAAATAATGCATTGGGACTAGTTATCAATGTAATTAGACAAATGGTTTAAGTTACTCTTTAAAAGGCTTATCCAGGTCTTACCCATCTCCATTGCTGTGAATGTTCATTGCACGAGCCATTAGGACAACTATCATTGGTCGGATGGCTTTGCCTTTGCCATCAAAGTAATAGTCACACAGAGACTTGAGCTCCGTTCCCACTAACAGCTCCTGAAAAAGGAAATACAGTTGCATGTTTGATAAGGTGTTTAATTAAATAACATGAATGTACTATTGATAATCAGCCAAAGTACTACAATGTTACAATTCCATGTTCAAGGTAAGTAAAGGGGAGGCTAGATAGAAAATAAACTTCAGTTTAAACTAAACATAAAATGCATGGTTGACTAGTATTGTTGGTATAATTATGCGGTTCATTTAACAGTACTGTCACAGACTTTGAGGTCTACCTTTTTGATGTCATCATATAAACTTGTCAAGTCTCTCTGAGCTAGAGAGAATGGGTCTTTAGGCTTTGCATCGCTGTGTATCCGTCTACAGCACTGGAGAGTAGGATGCAGGAATTTCAGTTTTTGCCTGGAAGAAAAAGAATAATTTAGAGCACTAATAACAAGCTCAGTGTCCACAGTATTTGATAATCCCTTACAAATGGAGTTAATATGATTAAGTGAGGTTCAAGAGCAGGACCACACCTTAGCCTACCCCTCTCCTGCAAATCGGAGCTCACCTTAAGCACACCTCAAATTACACAAAAGCCCTATTTATACACAGGTGGCAGGCCTATCCCGACAACGTCTGTCTCCTCTCACACCCACCCTGTTTCTTGTTCATCTTTGAGACTGAAGACCTCATCATCATACCGAGTTGGCCAATCACCTGACTCAGCCACCACATCCATCCATATCAATGAATATTTTTATTGTATGCCTTTGTTGTGGTGTGGTCCTTGCTAATGAAATATACTCACCGGAAGAGGAACACTGTAAACTTTTGTAAGGGGACTGGTGTTGGCTGTTGCAAGGTTAGTTGCACCTAAAAAGAAGAAAATGTGTAAAATGCACTAATAATAAAACCCTGGTAATTACAACACTACAGATAAGGCTATATGATACAAAGGGTTCATTAGTAAGTATTACACTTTTTAACATTACGTCTAGACACATTTAAAAATAAAATGAGTACTACTTTGATATGAAGTATATGATTAGATAAAAGTTGAAAACATTTTTACGCAATAATAATATGTTTTCAATAAGAACTGATTTATAAATGACCAACTGGAAGGAAAGTGTAGTTTGCATCAGGTGGCATATAAATGACTCAATGAATGACAGACTGAAATAACATATAGTGTTACAAATGAATGAAACCATGAATGAATTAATTAATTAATTAATACATGAAGACAGCTGTTGGAATATAGGCTTAAGGTCAGATTGATTCTTGACCTTTCTCCGTAGTAAGACGGTCCCACCACAAAGTGCAATCTAACATTAGAAGTACACAGAAAACCAACTTATTTCAAGACGCTATGAGAAGTACACATATTTAACATTCGCGTGCTAATATATCCTGGCGTGATTCATTTATAACTGCAGAGTGACAGCTGAACACCGTGACCTTCCTGGGTTTGACAGCGCTCATTTCCCGGTGTCCTGCCGCACACACTCACCTCGTTCCCCGGTGCACACCTCCAGGCCGTCCGTGCAAAAAGCGCCGCGGTAGAGGACAGGGACCTGCAGTGTTGGAGCCGCACGCTTTCAGACACAGTCACAGTGGTACAGCCTGTACTCCATGCCCTGAACACATTCCTCAGCGGCCCGGCCATGATCAGCCGCGGCGTGCATAGCTTTGGTAAAGGACTTTTACGAAACCGGAAGATGGAGAGACGGGCGCTGGCTGATGATGCAAGCGGTTTAACACATTTAAATAGATTTGTTCGTGAAAGATTGACTGGACTGATCATTTTTTATAAATACAAAAATAAATAAATACAGCACCACGGTTATTAAAGTGTGCATGCATTTTGAAATAACTAGATTTCATATTAAATTACTAGGCCTACTAAAATGAATATGATTATGTTGTAAAAACAGGATCAAGACAGGGGGATAACTCATAAGTATAAGAATTTATAAGCTTCCTAGTTTTTGCAAATAGTACGCATTAGCAAATGCAGTACCAAGCATAGCAACAAGTATTGTCAATATTGTCTAAAATAAAGTATTTTTGTAGACATGCAGGTTTTCTGACAATAGCAACAATCGTCACTTTTTTGGGAAGTTATATCCTAAATAAATAGTTGACTTTGGGTGACAGCACAAAGATTATAATTGTCATCACTAGAGGGAGCTGCTGCATCATGTAATGTCCTGTCATTGTTGGTTACACAAGAGACTGCAAAGAGGCGGGCTGAGGCTGAGAGAGGGCTCAGGAGGTTAAGGTCAGACCAAAGACTGAATGGGTCAGACCTTCAGCTTCAGGTTTGTTACATAAAACTGACATGACCATTAGAAAATGCTCCACACTGACTCCTTTGTTTTATTTACAATCACTTGAGATTCCCTTTATTGTGTAGGGGAATGAATGGGACAGAAACCAGTAACTGTTGACTGCTAAAAGGGGTGCTGTTTATTGATGGGATGTGACGCTACGGCCTAGCAGATTGGAATAGAAATACTAGTAAAATAAACAAAGAAATTTATACAAATATATTTGCTTTTTGCTTTTATTAAATATTAAACACATTACTACACATTATTTACTCATACACATTTAAAACCCTTATGTGCCAGCAATAAAACTCTTGACATACTATAAAAATATAACAGTACCTCATGACCTTTTTAATACATGAAACTGAATTGTATTTGTACACATACTATGTTTGGTCTCTTACATAGTCAGAGGCGGTTGTAATTTCATTTTTCAGTTTTACTTGGGTAACTTTTAGAATAGGTGGTTAAAACAGCGTTCAGCAATGAGACAATAAGTACATGATCACATCAATACTAAAACACATTTCAGTTTTTTTTAATCACCAATTAGATTCATTTGTTCACCAAGACTGTTTTATTGCCGCTTATAGCACACATTTGGCTGTGGCTTCTGTTTGAGAAATAATTTTAACAGTACTTTGACTTGAGCACAGTTTTTGAATCCTCAATATTCACATCTCTGTACATTATTCCAAAGTTTTGGCCTACACAGTGACATCACCTGAATAATCCAAAAGGTCCTTTACATGGCCATAGTTCCTCCTAGTATTTATTATCTAGATTCCTAGGCTAAACGTTGCCGCGTTTTTTCCTCATGGCTAACATCAGTTCTGACATTAAGTCCCCATCTCCTCCTCCTCCTCCTCCACCAGCCCCATGGAGAGGTGGCGTTGTCCTCTTGGGCGGAGCAGGTGGACCCTTCTTCAGAGAACCAGAGCGAACCGCCAGTTTTGGACCAACTCCCGGTGGTGGAGCTGCAGCGGGTGGTGGTGGAGGGGGCGGAGGTGGTGCCCCTGCCCCAGTGAAGGCCTGCTGAGGCGGAGGAGGTAAGAAGCAGGGGTCCGGTGGTGGAGGAGGCAGGTCAAAAGCTGGAGGAGGAGGGAGGGGCATGGAGCTCAGTGGAGGAGGTGGAGGAAAAGAGGCAACTGATGGAGGGGGTGGGGGGAAACTGGCAGGTGGCGGAGGGGGTGGCAGGAAGTCAGGCGGGGCATCTGAACAGTCCTCGTTGGGAGGTGGAGGTGGTGGTGGAGGTAGGGGGTCCTGGGAGTGAGGAGATGGGGGGAACCGGGATGAGGATTGATGGTGCTTGGGTGGTAGTTTGATGGAATTCTTCTTGGCGGACTGTGGAGGAGGAGGTGGAGGAGAAGAAGATCCAGAGGCGGGCGGAGGGTGAGGGACGGTGTGACCAGAGGATAGGGAAGGAGGGGGTGGTGGTGGTGGGAAATCTCCAAGGTCCTGGGACAATAGAAACAAGACAATAAACACAACAGTTTAACATGGTATCTTGTGAGTTGCATTCATGTACGCGATGTGATGATGTTATATTTTAAGATGGAGGACAGGGGCCTATTGGAGGTTTTCAGATTCTTGAATGTGATGATGTCATACTCCCAGATGGGAGTAAGAGAGTTTTTACCATTGATTGCACTGTAGTTTTCCATGAGATCTCTAAAAGGCAGATCAACAAATTTTTACCCTGATCATTTCTATTAGTGACTCTAGAATTTACTATTTTACAACAGAAACTACAAAATAAATTTTAGCTGCTTCCCCCTTTTTATTAATAGAATGTTGAACCAGATTATAATTTGTTAAATCTTGGGTCCAAAAAAAAAATGAAACGTGCTGTATTATAGTTAGTCTGTTATAATCCTACCACATTTTGATGCTATTGAAACAAAATAATTTGACTTAAGTTAATTAGTACTGACTAAAATGACTCTAAACTTTGTACCTGGTTTTGTTTCATGTGGCCCAGTAATTACAGAGATATTAACCATAAACCAGGACAAAACCACTGCATTGTGATACTTAAAAGCCCAAATCAAATTGAATATATTCCTGCCCTTCATCCCAGTATTAAATTATGAGAAGTTTAGAATGCTGATGTGATGTCATGACATTTAATAACAATATACATAAAACTGTACCTGCATAATAGTCCCTACTGAGGGTTGTGGAGCATGTCCATTGGCCTGGCCTGAAGACTTGGCTGTAAAATTAAAATAATGCCATTGCTTGATATGTGATAAAAGTACATTTTTAAGTACTATTTATATATATATACTTAATCAGTTTGTACCTTTAATAGTTGGAGATGGGGTGGACTGGCTGGAACTTGATGGACTGCTGCGGTTAGAGAACATGGCACTGACAGCAGCTTTCTTCTCAGAGGCTTTGAAGTTTTCATACAGAGCTGCGCCATACTGGACAAAAACATAGTAATTTTGTAAGTTTTGTTTATTTTTAAATTTACTTTTAGATCATTTAATCTCAGTATTTATACCTTTGCAATACGTATTCCAGTTACCCACAGCTTCATTGTTCTTGCGTCATCACAACACAAATACTTGATGTACTGGGACTCCTTCTGAATCTGGGGATGCTGAAAAAGACATCAGACATTATTAAAGGTCCTGTATTGCGCAAATTGATTTGTGCGAGCTTTTAGCCATTTTTTAATGTTGTTACCTCCTCAAAAACACACCCATAGTTGTGTTTTGTTTCATTCACACATGTTGAAGTAATTCTTTATTATTAGTCTGTCTACATGTCCAAAGCTCAAAATGCTCTGTTCAGCCTTGTGATGTCATGAAGTGGCAAGTTAATAGCTACCTTTTACCTTTTTAGTAGAGAAACCAGTATAACATAAAAAATAGTGTAATGTGGGCCTTTTAGGTTAGAATTATTACTGCATATAGCTTTGTGTTTCAAGGTTTCCTATTATTCTAACCATTACCACCAGAGGGCAGCCTGTCACTAGACTCAGCTCTCAAAAGGGCACCAGTTTAAGGTTGTTGATAATGAGTTGCTATTATAGGGCTCCCTCAGGTGATTCTTCTGCAGTATGATGAAGCTAAACTGTTTGTCTGTAAGTGGCAGCAGTTTTGCGGATCATAAAGTCTAATTTGCCTAACTCTTCCCCTGGCATCTACAGTTCAACCTCATCTCTACCCACGCCGAGGTTTAAAGATGCGCTCTTTTCTGATTGTCTCTATGGAGATGTCATTGGTTCCCCTTGAATGTTCCACTGTATGGCATTACACGTAGCTTTTCTGGTGGAGCGTCGGCAACTTGCTTGTTTTCATGAAGATGTTATTGCTTTGCGTAGCTTGTTCCAGCATATGGAATTTAGTGTATTTATCGTCATGGAAACAGGCACGAAATCCCACCAGTTTAAGTTACAAATCAGATCTGTGGAGAGGTCACCCTGTTCACAGTAAATGCATGTTTTTAAAGATATTTTTAGCTGCAAAGAACAAGTAAATGAATAAATGCACGTTAGATAAATTTGATACCTTATTCTGGGACATTTCGTACAAAGCAGTAAGATCTCTATGCTTTGTTGCTTAAAAATGCCTTGAAGAACATATATTTTTAGTGTGGTCATCTCTCTATAGGCCTGACCTGCAAAGTTGCGTCGCCTAGTCGTCTCCATTACATAACATTCCAGACAAAACAAAAACATCTCACTGGAGACAATCAGGTTGCCACTCTTTACTAGAAAAGTAACACAGTTCACCTTTAACTCATTCGTAGCTTGAAGGTTAGAAGAAGTTAGAAGTCATCACGGACCCTTTTATTGGTCTCCCCTCTCGTCTGCACTGACAGGTCATTTGCCCCAGGCCCTGACACCTCAACGCCCAACCTTGAGGAGGCTGTCTCTCACCTGCAGCTAATTCACTATCTGTGCCTCCCTAAGCTCTTTTCTGCAGCTTTGGTCCTGAGCATCTAGCCTCACACTGTCTGCTGATGTTAGGGTTTCACACACCAGATAGGGAAAAAGAAAGAAAAGGCCACTCTCACATCCTGTTTTATGCCTTCACGGCTAATTTGAGATGATTTCTACAGACTCAGCATAAAGATTAAGTGAATTTTCAGTATTGTACTGATTCAACATCTCACTAATTGTATTTTGTATTGCAGAAAGAAAACGTACTTTATACACTCTTCGTGAGGCTAAAAATAGGCAATGTTTTTATTAGGATTGTACTGAACCTCATACTAATCGATACTAAAACTAGTATCGAAAGTAGATACTAGTACAAAGAGTACGTTTTATTTTCATTGTGTTATCAGAATCAGTAAAGAGTATTGAGTCTGTTCTGTAGTACTGAAATTGAGAAGTGAAATTGAGAATTGTTTGTATTGTGACTACATTATTTTTTAACCCAGTGGATGTAATATTTAATTACAGCTTGGTAAATTTTCTATCAGTTAACCATTATAAGTTGAAGTTACTGTGTTAGACTTGGAAACAATGTGGGAATTGTTCCTTTGTCTCTCTCTCGACACTTCTTCTTTTACTTATTTAAATGCACCTATTTATTACATTTGTGGATGATACTAAAGTTGGGTAGACAGATGGAATATATCAAGTTTAGACTAATTCAAATTACAAAGTATGAGTATGTCAGATTGCATTGCATTCATCTCTTATGTATTTACAGTTGGTATTGAAACTACCAGATGTGTGTGGCATGTTGGCTATTAATAGGTTTGTTTATCAGTCTGTCTACATCTCCAAAGCTCAAAATGTTCTCTTCCAACCTGTGATGCAGTAGTTTCCTGAAATCATCCAAATGATTTCAAATTATTCTAGGGAAGGTGTATGGACTTTTAAAACACAGTGGAGCACTCAGTATCACCACGTGACATCACAAGGGGTTTTTTTGGGTTTTTTTTGAGAGAACTCAGCCTAAACATGGAGGATCTGTGTGTTAAACATGTGTGAATGAAACAAAACAACACTCCAGATATGTTTTTGATGAAGAAATGATATAACAGATCAGAAAACAGTGTGATATAGGTCCTTTATAATGAATGTTTTTTTTATAAATAAAATCAGTTAAGCCTTTAAGAAGACGTCTGTTTGTTATTTATTACCAGAAAAATCTTTCCCCTCTGTATTTATTTCCATACTATACGTCTCTAGTTAATAAACGTCCAGAGAGGATAGTTACCTTGAGAACAAAGCAGAAGTCCGTGGGGGCCTTGTACTTGGTCTTAAAGTCCTGCCCGTAGTAGACATTTACGTTGTCAAATTGCACGAAGCACACCAGGTCACGAGAGGACTGCACACACACACACACATACACATATACAGAAAATTATCCCACTGGCTACCAAATCCCAGTTGCAAATCATGTCCGCTTCCCTGACCCCTGACCTTGGTTTTCCCTTTAGGCACATAGTAAATTCCCGAGGCCCGGAGCTGGAAAAGGCGCTGTTTCCAAGACTTCTTTCCATCTTCTTTGAGGTGCAGAACCCCCTCCAGATCTGGGACAATGATGGAGGTGCCACAGAAGTTCTCCTGCAGAGGCCGGCCAGGATAAAAGGGTCAGACACACAGCTCCCATCGGGAAAAAAAATACTATGTGTTTTCTTACCTTTATCAGAATCTCCTTGTCCTTGTCTTTCATGTCTTTGAGGGTTTTCCTGTCCTTCTTCCAGAGATAGAAGTTCTGAAATATGACATTAGAGGTCCTATATTACGCAAAATTGACTCTTATGAGCTATAAGTCATATTGTTACCTTCTCAAAAACATACAAGAGTTGTGTTTTTTTTTAGTTAGTCTGTCTACATCTCCAAAGTTAAAATGCTGTTCTACCTTGTGATGTAATGAAGTGGTAGTTTTCATGTTAACAGCTACCTTTTACCTTTTGTTCAGTTGAGATGGACAATTCCAAGGCTGAATTCATCCAGATGATTCTAGTGAAGGTGTATCGCGTTTAAAACACCACATGATAAAAGGTGGAACAGAGCGTTTTCAGTCTGAGAGAAGAACTCAACCTAAAGATGCAGATTTTGTGTGTTCAACATGTGTGAATGAAACAAAACCCAACTCCAGGTATGTTTGTGATGAAAAAACAACATTATAACATAGATCATAAAACAGTGTAATATGGGACCTTTAAAGGAACACTATATGTAAGATTTTTATGATAAATTCTATAAACATGTGTTCCCAGATACAAGTTAAACATGTTCAAATCAAATATAGCTTTAACTGGTAATAATTATAATACTGATTTATTCTTAATTACAAAAACATTGGACATGATGATCATATTGTTGGTGTTATAATTCAGTGTTTTGGTTCCCCAGATGGTTATCCAATCAGAATGCAGAATTAGCCTCACACGAGACTCTTGTGGATTGCCAGTTTCTGTGCTGAAATCCAATCAGCTAAAACCTAAAAGGATCTGAATCCTGCCCTACAGTGCCAAACTTTAATTAAGAGTTTTAATTAATAATTTGACCAAATGCTAAATAAGAGCACATTTATATTTATCCATCCCTTTAACTTCAAATATTAGGATTGTAAAACACCATTCATTATCGAATTTGTTTGAAAATCCTACTTGAATCAGATTATCCTGTTCAGACTTACAAAAAGGAGAATTCCACAAACTTATTCAGACAAATCAACTAATTATAAACATACATCAAAATCCACCATGCAAAAGTGTTTTCAAATGTTTTCAAACACATAGCGTAATTTTGAGGAAATCTTGTGGCTGCTGGAGCTTAATACAAAACAGTTTTTAACCATGACATCATTGTAAATTTAATTGAACAGGACGTGCTATAAACCAGCTCCACAACATCAGCAAAAAACATAGTAAAGTAATTGATTGCATACATTTTATTCTTACAAATCTCATAGTTTTGATAGTACCCAGAATCCTATAAAACCCCATCTATTCATCTTGGGGTGGCCGACCTGACATATAGGCGAGCTTGATTCATACTCCAGTCTTCTCCGTTTCCATAAATGTGGTGAAAGAGCCACAGGGAAGATCTTTTATTTAGTTACTCCTTGTCAAAAGTTGAGAGCATAAATTACCCAGGACATGTAGTATAAAACAGATCTATGTTTTGCTGCGGATGTGGACGCCGTGATTGAGTACATTACAGTCGCAAATACCTCCCCAGTTTCCATTCGACAATCAGACCATTAGTCCTCTGCCAACAGACCGAATCCATTAAAGTCTCAGAGATTATAAAAGACTGCTATTATGTCAGCAAACATGCCAAGATGTCATAGTGTCCGGTTTGAGCCTTTATTCTGAAATATTACAGCAAGTTGGCCTCCACCTTGAATACAAGTCCAATCATCATTTAGACAGGACTCAAATGGAGCTGGAGAGATACAAGATGCAGAGAGATTTGTGCAAACAGAGCCCAGAAATAATGCTGTCTACAGGGGTGGACTGCAGAGATAATATACAAGATGGTCTGTCATTAATTTGGGCTTCTATGTGGACACAGGAGTATGGATGTATGTGATGAAGTGTGGGGGAAAGAGAGAGAGAGGGGGAGAGGAGACCCACCTGCGGGTTTTTGAACACCTCGTATTTCTCAGGCATCTCTTTGAAAAGGACCTGGTTCTCGCTGTCTCTGGTCCAGGCTAACAGCGGCTCCACCATGTTCTCATGGTCCTCAAACAGACGCTCTGCAATAATTAGAATAAAATACATTGAATAGATGAAGATGAACAGTAGAGCAGCGGCAGAGAGGTTTGTACACTTAAAGGGCCTATATTATGAAGTTTTCTGATCTATGCTATAATGTTGTTTCCTCATCAAAAACATACCCTGACTTGTGTTTTGTTTCATTCACACATGTTTAACACACAAATCCTGCTTCATACAGTAAGTGCTCTACTCCATACTCCTTCATTAGAATCATTTGGATAATTTCATCACTGGAATTGCTAAACTCTACTGAACTAAGATTAAAAGGTAGCTAAATTTAAACTTAATTTGCATCATCACAAGATGGGACAGAGCATTTTGACCTTTAGAGCTGTAGACAGACTAATAATGCACAATTACTTGGAAACGTGTGAATGAAACAAAACACAACTCCAGGTATGTTTACGAGGAGGTAACAACATTATAACATGGCTTAAAGCCCACAAGAGTCAACTTTGTATAATATAGGACCTTTAAAGAAACAACGTATTCTCACTGTGTGGCTTTCTCCTGGTAAACAATATCCATGGTTTCTGAGTTATGCAAAATTGAGACCAGTGCCATAGTAAAAAAAAAATCATTCAGTAAAACATTCAAATTATTTGAATGGCTAAAGTACTCAAAAAATCCCTCAGAACAGCAAGAACTAATGTCACTGAAATATATAAAATATATATCTGTATTGGGTTCTATGTTAATCATCCATTTAGATATTTCTAACTTAGATCCATGCTCAAGATTTGGAGAAGGACTCCTGGGTGGTGCATTATGGGCACTCACTGCTCCTGACAGGTTGCTCCAGTGGTGCTGATCCATGGAAGGATCCAATATGACTAGAACATATTTCTCTACATCCCCTGGAGCATTCCTTCTAAGTTAAGTTAAGTAGATTTCAAAATACTTAAAAATCCAAGTACAAGAATATGCACTTGTATTCATTCATATTTGCATGTTAAAATGAAACCATCATGTTGTTTGGACATTGTAGACACTAAACAGGACACGATGTGATAGTTTTTCAGTTCAGATCAGAATATAGATCCGCCACAGCACCGTCCTCTGAGATACCTTGTTTTGGCTTAAGGCGATAGAAGCACACATAAGCCAAGTAGATTTAGATTTCTTTTTATTAAAGGCATTCCTCAAATGTCACCGAGCAGTAAAACCTTAGTCTCCTGCAGCAGTCTAATCAATATGAGCCATTACTGTAATTTCACTGGACACCCAACCTCTGCCAACACCGTGGCCAAGGAACATTCAAACCACCTCCAGTTTCTTCATAATCTAAACTGTACACTACATCATTATGCAAAACAGAGTCCACAAAGCATTTATTGTGTTCTTATTTACTTTCACCATAAAACAAGTCCAAACTGAGACAACACAATCTTCAACTTTTCAAAGTCAATTTACAGAAGCAAACTAATAGCCTGACATCTTCTTGTACATCTAAAACATCACTCCTGCTACTGCGGTCTTGGTTAACGGTTAGAGTAGCCAAAACCTATGCTTTAATAAGACACTGCTGTTACAAAAATATTACCTAAGTCTATCTATATCGCTCTCTCTCTCTCTACTTAAATACAAATACATATACACACATACACACATACTGAGTAACTACAATCTGATTTATGATTGACTTACCTCATGCATTCTGAGAATCCTAATTATTCACCATGATGACTTCAGTGCCTCTCGCAACTTTAAGAGGCCAGAGCAGAGTTTTGCTGTCACAGTAACAACATCTAGTATGCTAACTGTGCACTTCCTGATTCTCCGAGTATAAAAGGCTTTATAATTAGATCCAGACAGTACACAGCTGGCTTATTTTGACCTCAAGAGCTGTTTAAACAATATATATGTTCTGGCAAGACTATTTTTTTTTACTTCAAATAACATGGAAAAAATTGGCTACAGGCCCTTTAAGTCACAATTATATCAAAATAGTAATTTACAGGGTGTTAATGAAATTATGTTTAAATTAAGTTATATTCAGAAACATATAGTAACCATTCTAACTTTAAAAATATGCACTGACTGCTTGATTTAATACAGTACTGAACTACAACGTCTGACCACCCACACTGATACTCCACGTCACGTCTTTCCATCACACACTGGCCCTTTGAGCCCCAATTACAGGTCCCTGGCCCCAGCACCACTACCTCCTAAATAAAGGCTGCCAGTCTGTTCAGCGCCTATTACGGCCATTAAGAGTGTGGTGTGACTTTGCAGTTGGGGTGACTTATAAGGAGTGAAAAATCTCCTTTGAGATGCATTAACCACATGGTACGTTGTGTGGTGTTGATGGGGAGCACATGGCAGCACTGTCTGAAGGAGCTGTGGGTTTTTCTTCATTAGACAAGATCAAAGTTTTAAGGTGGTTATAACAGTAGCTGAAGCCTATGTTTACAATCACTTAAGGGTTCTATATTACACAAAATTGACTCTTGAGAGGTTAAGCCATGTTATAATGCTGATACCTCATCAAAAACATACCCAAAGTTATGTTTTACTTCATTCTTATATGTTTGAGTAATCTTGCATTATTGTCACATGACATCACAAGGTGGAACAGAGTGTTTTCAGTTTGAGAGAAGAACTCAGCCTAAATATGTGGGATGTCTGTGTTAAATGTGTGAATGACAAGACACAACTTCAGGTATGTTTTTGATGAGGAAACAACATTATAACATAATAAAAATAGCATAATATAGGCCCTTTAAAAAGCAACCTATAGTACTGTGTTATTGCCAATCCAAAATAGATGCTAACAGTGTAGTAGTTATAGGTTACTTCATTATTAATCAATGCCCATAAAGTGAGTTGTTGTTAAGAGACTAAAAAATGTAGCCTGAATCAGTTCCATTCCAACATGCAGATTTTGGGTGGGCTGACTCAAATTTTTGCCTTGTATTTCAGCACAGTTTGCCTTCCCCAGTACAGATATGCTGTGTATCCTTTGGGTGTTGTCTGCATCTAATTATAAAGTGTTTTACTGTCTGAGAATCATGAAGTGCGTGGTTGGCAAGCTTATTGTTGTTAGCATTACCGTGACGGCAAATATCCACTCTGACCTGAAAGTTGTAAAACTTACTTATAAACTCATTGTGGTGAATAATTAGGATGTTAGGAATGCATACAGTGAGGAATGGCTCACTGCAAAATGTTTAAAATGAAGTAATTCTGTTTTTAAGACAGTAAAGATTTATTAAATAATACTGCAAAATATGTTTATAATTACTGGTTGGGTTTCATATTTTCCCTAAAACCTTTGATTTGGTGGATAAGAATGGAGTTGTCTGTACCTCACATACAATGTTGGGAAGTAACCGGATACATGTACTGAAAATATGTATTCTGAATATTAATGATGAATAACTATACTATTTAATTACTCTTTCATTTGGTGGTATTAGAATACAGTTGCTTTTCTAAAATCAAAGGAATACATGGTAGTACTTCATCATGTGGTTTGGAACTGCACAGCATTAGTGAGAATAAAGCAAACATAGCTCTTGAGTGAGTGTATTTGTGATTTTTCATCTTTAATTAGACATAAATGAATGCATACCAAACAGTACAACAAAAATAAAGCTGTTTGTAATTATATGTCATATTTTTTTACTCTATAATATAATGTTACTCAGAGTAAAAGTATTTAAGTTAACTTTTTAAATAAATACTTTTTACATAAATACTTTTTAAAGTTAACTTAAAAAGTATTTAATTAATAAATACAGGTATTCAGCATTCTGTAACTAAATGCAGTATTCTTCCCTTCACTGCTCACATATTGGCTAAATAAATTATAATGAAAAAAGCAAACTCATGGGAAACCATTAAGAAAATGGTTCATTATAATTTGGCAGACTGTTGGGAAGTATAGCCTATATTTGGTGTCCATTTAGCTGTGTCACTGTCACAATGTCTGCAGTCAGCAGTGACACATGGACAATCTGTCTCCTATGCCTGAGTCACATGATTAACCCACTGAGTAAACCTGTAACTGCTACTCTGTATCTGCTTATAGTCTGACTAAGTACAACATGAGCTATCATTTGGTTATAAATAAAGCACTCAACTAAGCCAAAACAAATAAAAAAACATATTATGAGTTTGCTTATCTCATATAATTCACTTACACATTGAAGAGAGGTATTACATTTATATTCCACGTTAGCTGCTAATACACCTTTGCATGGCGATATAAATCTAAAATGCTATACTTGCCAAAAACAACGTATGAAAATATTTAATAAACTTCAGTTTTGTCTGAGTCCCTGCACTAAGTTACTCCCCATTCAGAGTGCTACCACATTACAATCGGTGTGCATTGCATCAGGTTTATGAAGTTGTAGTGTATTGTTTTGTATCATGCTTCTGTATATTTACGAAAAATTGTCTTACAGAAGCATGCGTGATGTAGGCTTGTGGGCTGAGCATTCAACAGAATCGTACAACTAACTGTAAGGAGGGTTCGAGTAGGGCCCAGAGGAGATTGCCAGATTACTCAAACATGAATGAATGACATATAAAACAAACCTCTTCAGGCTTGTTTTTGAAGATGGAACAACATTATAATATGGTATAATGTTCCAAAAATGTTGCATAATACCCCATCTTTAATAACAATAATGCATTTGATTTATATAATGCTTTTCAGACACTCAATAAAAATTATATGCAATTACCTCCAATTGATTACTGATTCACATTCATAAACAGGAAAGCTTTGATGTGTCTTGCCCAGGAACACAACAACAGAATAGAATGGCTAACCAATGAACTACTGCCACCACTAATAGCTAATTCTTTTATGTCCAAATAATAAAGAGATGACTTCATGAAAACCTTGACCTATTTCAAAATGCACAAAAAGCCACTGAGCACTTTCTACAAACTGATGAATGGACAAAAACTACTGTTAGTCATGTTTTTGTCATTCCAGTATGGCTTCCTAAAGATGAATGAAAGATAGACTGCCAAGCCATGATTTATCCTTTAATTTACAGTATCGCAGCATAACTAACCAAATATAAAATGAACCTGGTACGATTGTGGAGAAAATAATATTGACTTAGATTGCATTTCTTGGCGAGCGTAATGACTTTCGCACGGCTCTCTCATTTAGCTGTTTCAGGAGAGAATATAGCGGCTCCCTGCTGGTGATATATAAGTCTGTCAGTGTGAAATTATGCATTATCGCCATGGCAATGTGATCAAGTTGTTAGACGCGGAGAGAGCAGATGGTAATGCGCATCTCGGGGTTCAGACAGCGGATTGAGATCATAAGGATTCTATTTCCACATGACAGCGATGAAAAGCCAGCAGCAGCAGTGTCCCGTCCTGCAAATCAACCCCACCTGCCTGGAGTGTGCGCGTGTGTTCGTGGATGTGCGTGTGAACGGGTTTTTATCACATTGTGCGGACAGAAATTTGTACACGCACACATATATGGGGACATAAATCAGGTATCCATGACGTAAATCCGTAATTATTAGATCAGGAACATGGTTTAAAGTTCAGATATGGGTTAAAATAGGGGTGTGTGTGTGTGTGTGTGCATGAAATTGAGCAGCATTTGTCGTGCCCCAGGACAGATATATTGTATAAGCAGCTATTGGGGTTAAAATAGGTCCACTGTGTCCTGTCTGCATCTAATTTTACATAGTTTTATCGTCCAAGAATCAGGAAGGCCAGGAAGTTAGCATGCTAGTTGTTGTAAGCATAATCATGATGGCAAAACTCCATTCTGGCCTCTGAAAGTTGTGACTAGTGCTTATACACTAATTGTGATGAACAATTAGGATGCTCAGAATGTATAAGTGAGGAATAACTTGAACTTGACTGCTGAAAACTGTTTAAAATGAACTAATTCTATTTTTAAGTTTTTAAGACTGTAGAAATCTGTTACAGCACTTTTAAGATTAGGGTTTAGGCTACAGCAAACCTATTATGCAAACTTGACCTTTCAGAGCTTTTAGCCATGTTATAGTTGTTTATTTGAGCATTCTTTAATCACTTATTTTCAAGACACCATATTGCAGATCAGTCTTCGCTTTCACCGTCACTGTCACATGCCCACTGTTCTCTTGATTCTCTGAATTTGTGATGCACGTAAGATTAGGCACCTTCATATAGTCATTTGGTTCAAATAATACTTGTCAGTGTAATCTGCAGCTATCCATAGGAGGGGCCGACAACTTCACAGTTATTTGTTGTGATGATGTTTACAGCGACATCAGCTCCCATTGGACATTACAGTTTTCTAACGCAAAAGTCAGTGAAAGTCGTGATAGATGAATATTGCAATTTAAAATGTGCAAATTATAACATAATATTATAACATAAATATACAGAATATGTGTTCTTTAAGGTTAGGCAATTAGTGATTATGGTTAAGTTTAGGATCAATCTCTAGGAAATGAATGTACTGTAAATCAATCTAATGTCCCCAAGAAGCACCGAAACCCAACATCTGTGTGAGTGAGTGTGTGAGAGAGAGGGGGGAGTATGTGGGGAGGGGGGCAGATCAATGTTTCTTTGTGAGTTCACAGTGGTGTGCCTTCCACTGAGCCAATAAAAATACAGTCTATCATCTGGATGGACGAGTATGAAATATTCTACACTGCACTGCATCCACCGTCTGCTGCAGAAAACTCTAAAGGACCATACAGGCTAACGGCACTAGAATCATGCTGGAATTTTAACATGCTCAGTCCATTCACAGTTTACTTGGCCATTGTTCACTCATAGGTTCATGCTGTTTTGTAAGAATTTTAAGATGATAGCATTCTTGGTTAAACATGAACTGACATGCTTTGGAATACTATTGCGATGTCCACAGATTGGTAACAGCTGCAATAATGTTATGTTGACCTGAGTAAGAGCAAAGGATCATGGTCTATGGAGTTTTACACTGTTTTTGGCGTTACTACACTGCTATAATCTATAATATAATCTTATATTGTGACATTCATATGATAAACTTCTATCCTTCCGCTGATTACATCTTTGTAGGTTCTATATTCAGCAAAAGTGACTCTTTAAGCTTTAAGCCATATTAAAATGTTACCTCCTCAAAAATTATCTGAAGTTGTGCTTGGTGTTTCATTCACACATGTTTGAGCAACCCTTTATTATTAGTTTGTCTACATCTCCAATGCTCAAAATTCTCTGTTCCACCTTGTGATGTCATGATGTGGTAGTTTTCAAGTTAACAGCTACCTTTTACCTGTTGTTTAGAAAAGATAGATCAGTCCAGGGCTGAAATTATCAAAATGATTCCAGTGAAAGCGAATGGAGTTTAAAAAAACATTGAAGCACATCCCCTATTACAACATGACATCACAAAGTGGAACAGTGCGAGTGCTTTCTGTTTGAGAGCCTAAATATGTAGGATTTATGCTTTAAAACACAACTCCAGGTATGTTTTTGATTGATTTTTGAGGAAATAACATTATAACAGATCTGAAACCAGTGTAATTTGAAACCTTTAATAGACTGCTATTGTTGTTTTTCCTACAAAATTAACTAGAAATGTGATGAAACGTTTTCTAGGAAACGTGTGGAATGCCCACACATCTTGCGTCAATGTGCCATCATCCAACTATTGCTCATAATGAAACAGATCTTAAGATAAGTCTTCTCTGTATAGCGTGGTGTGTTACTTACCTAGCTGTAGTTCATGGTTGGTCTCACACAGGCTCCAGTCCACATTACAGTCACAGTGGGTCTTCTCAAACATGTTCTCCAGGACCTCCCGAACGATCTGCCTCTCATCCACCATTAGGGTTTTAGAGCTGCCGTCATTCAGCAAGACTTTCACCACCAGCTGGAACAGAAAAGCAGTGTTTCATAGCCATAAGAATTTATAGAAAGTTGAATAAAAACTTTGGGAGACTGGAAGTTTGAGTGAGACTCCTATCTTAAAAGCGCTGTAACATGTCCCATATATTGTAAAAGCACTGTTAGAACGCTAGTTGTTGTTTGCATTACCGTAACAGCAAACCTCTGTTCTGGCCTTGAAAAGTTGTGAAATGTGCTTGTGAAACTCATTGTAGAGAATGATTAGAATAGTATGAATGTGTTATGACAGTGAGGATTAACTCATTTGTATTTTCCAAGATTCTGGCTAATGTTAAGATGAACTCAAAGAAAAGCTGACAGTGTTTCCCAAACTTTTTTTTTCTGGGGACCCATATTTTAAAACAAACAACTTCTCGACCCAAGTCAATAAACATTATTCGTAAATCACAAAATAAAGGTGGGTTTGACCATTATTGAACATTAATGAGGATATTTTATTGTTGAGTGAGTGATCATGTCTCTCTGAATAATTAGTATTACTCGAGTTTTAAACAATGAAAAACAGTAATTGAACCAGCAATAAAAGGATCCATAAGTTGCCTGTTTGGACACAGAATGTAGCCCATTTCTTTTTCTTTTCAATATTCAATTGAACGAGACATATTAGAACAAAATAGTAAATAAAATAATTACAAAAAGAAAAGAAATTGTACAATACATGTCTGAACATTTCTAATGAGATAGGTGGGCCTGCGTGGGTATTTGTAGCGCCTTCCAGTACGGGGTGCAGGAGGAGAGCGCAGCGCACATATCAGTGTCAGAACTGTATATTGCAGACTTACATGCAGATCATGACAAGGTGACCCAGAAAAATCTCTTGCGACCCACCTAAGGGTCATGACCCAGTCTTTGGGAAACAATGGTCTAGGGGTTAGATCGCAGCATGTACGCTAGGCCAGCCTTGGTGTGACATTGATTCTTGATATTTTGACGACAGAACTGTTTACTGTCCTGTCCAAAAAATTTATTAGTTCAAATAATAAAAATCTGATTTCTGAATAATTAGCCAGATTGTCTTTGGATTTGTACTTGATTTTGATTATCTGTGCGACACATTGAAATCTCAGAATATTTTGAACAGCAGCCAGTGTCCCTAGAGTAAGACATCAAATGAAGCGATGATCCTGTGCATTTTGCTGGCTTGATTACAGGCCATGAGTACTAAATAGCTGTTCTCGTATGCTAATGCTAGTTTAGCTCAAAGCACATCCTCAGCAGTTCCCATAAACCTGCTCGGCAAAACTTCTCCGCTTTCATTTTGTTTCATCTCGTCCTCCTCAGTTGGCTTTCTCTCCGTATGACTTCACACTTGCTCTCATCTGGAACCAAATCCAGCTCTTGAAGGCTCTTCAGAGGTCAAGCGTCGTGTGCCATAAAAATGTGGCTTTGCTGAGATGTTATCACAAGTGTGGATCAGACGTTTAACCTATGTGGAAAATATTTTACCACAGTACAGGGATAAAATGCACTCTTTAGAATTTATGGCCATTGTCTTTAAAACTGTAAAGATGACAGGAGGAAACTCGCCTTATTCGGATTACTCATATCGGCATGAATGAAACTCCAGTATGATTTTTTTTTTTTTTTTATTATTATGAGGATATTATTGCATGGATAAGTATAAAACAAACCTTTAATTTAACAGTTGATTGAAAAACTGGGCAGTTGGCGCTACAAAACAAGTCAAAAAATAAGTACATTTTAATGTATATACTTTTTACTTTTACTTCAGTGCATTTTGAACAGGACTGAAAAGTAAAAGCATTTTTTAATTACTGTTTGAGACCTGCAGAAAAATGCATTTGAAGTTTGAAGAAAACAAAAATACACAAATGAAAACAGTTAGGAAAGTTGTTTCTGTGTTTGCAAAATTCTGAAAGAAGAAACAAAACTGAGTAATTCTTCCATTTGTAATAGAAGTATGGAAAAGTATTACCAAACTACACTGAAAGTTGAAACCAATTTCTACACAAACCACTGAGAAAAGCACCTTCCTTATCTCCTCTCACACAGATGTTCCTCTGAAACTCGAAAGTGCACCATGCTTCCCTAAAAGCTCCCACCACTGTACTGGGCTCTTCCCATTTAAGCATTTCTGGGGTAGAACAATGTGGACTTATGTGCAGTCTTTGTTGCATGACCACATGTCTGCACCACTTTGAACATGAGGAAGTCTCCACATATCACCAGAGAGGAAACCCCATGTGCCCTTCAGGATGATGGCCTGATCCAATACAGTGATTCATGACTTGTTCAAAAAACAGAAGAACAAGGAGCCACGCTATGGTGGAACTTCTTCTGCAACCACGGCCAAGTACCTATAACTCACCTGCTCTTTAATGTTTACTTCATGTGAGCGCTATTAGCTTACCTTCTTCACTTTAGCTTCTTTTAGCTTCTCCAGAGCTAGCTTGATCTTGTCAGCCTTCATCTGGGCCTCAATTTCTTCCTAAAATGGATAACAGAGAGAAGTTATAAAAATATTTAAACAGAAATTTGCCATTATAAAACTAAAGCCACACAGTTATACTTATAGCCATAAGAACAAAAGCATTTCCCCTTGCTTATATATATAAGGTAGGGGAAATGCTTTTTTTCACAGTTCATGCATCGTAAACAGATTGTCAGGGCATTTAGCGCCATACTGGATCTATCAATGACTTTTCTATGGTTTTATGCTGACTTATAACTGACAATGTAAGCAGTAAAAGCTCAAAATCATATAAAAATTTGATTAATATTTAGTAGAACACACAACATTTAATAAATAGTAAAGACTACCCAACTATATTAATGTGTTGATTATTTCAGTCTGTGGCGTTATTTTAATATTTATTGGGCTCCAAAATTAACATTACCTAGGTCTATCTTCAGAAATGTCCTCTGGTCTATCATGAACCGTAAGTTTAATATGACCAGATTTTCACAATCAAAAACTGGGACACTCTCGGTTTGGAGCGGTTGGTAATAAAAAAAAATGTGAATCAAGTGCATAATTTAGGAAAACTGTTTTGCACTCGGCCCATTCATGACTAACATGAGTCACTATAGTCACATTTTCTTTGTGTTCTGGTCATTTTCAAGCAGCTTTTCTGTATTTTACCTAAACAAATGACAATGTATGCCTCTCTTTACTGTTGACAGGGATAAAATTGGTCAAAAATACGGACACCTGGGACTGTGATACTAAAAGTCTTTGTTAAACCACTTCTTGTGCAAAGTTTATATAAAATACACCAATTTTATTCATCAAAACAGTGAAAATATCAAATGTGTCACATAAATGAGTTTCCTTCTACTAAACAAGCAACAAAGTTGTAGCACTGTAACAAAATATTTTTAGTAAAATATACCAAAAAATACTCTTGGCGATATATCGATACAGCAGCTCACGATATCGATACTGTGTCATCACATTAAACAATACGATATTTCAATATTTCTGCACACCTCTAATCCTGGGTAAACAGGGACATCTGGTCACCCTAATATGAGAAGTTTGCAGAGCCATCCCTAACAATATTGATGTCAGCCTGTGTGGTTTATTCATTTGATTATGCTACTATTTGTGTTTCCGCTGATTTGTTATCTAGTTCAAATGTTGGCTTGTATTTTTCTTCATACAATTAGCATCGGCTCCAGACATAAAAGTCAGTTTCATAAACCTGCTGAGTCCAGGCAACCGATGAAACAATTCAGCTGCTACACTGCGTAAGATTTGATTTGGTTTGAATTTCCTCTTATTCTTACCGACGGAAATTCACAACGTTCACCTGGGACACTACATAATCTGGCCTGTCTTAAATGAACAGGAAGAGGATCACCTTTATGAGTCTAAGCTTATTAACCGGAGATACTCTAACTGTAAACCTGCCGACAACGCAAATTTTGACGAACTTATGCACCTCTGCCCAACAATGACGCATTCTCTTTCTCGGTACAGCTGGTGTTTTTAGCATGAGGTAACAAGCTCTGCTAAAGTCATAATGTCTGCTCTGGCTACCCCCCTCTTGCACTACTCTTCCTTAGACCTCTGCCATTGATCCTGATGTGTTCCAGACAGACTGTAACTGTAACACATGCCCCGCAACGGCTCTTTGTTCAGGAACAACCCTGAGCGAGATCAATGTCCAATTTCAAGAGCACCTTCGCAGACGCTCAATGAAAATGTATATGTCGGGAAGTGATGCCATGTTGTAGTGGTTTCCTGTCACACATCGCCTGGAGAAGTTCTACAAAAGGGCAGAACTAATAAAGGAGAGATTGTGAAATTGCGGCCTTTTTCATTTGCTGGTCTAGACAGTGTTTTAAAGTTTCTAACGTAGGTGCCGTTCAAATTCTTATGCCAACAAAAAGTGCATAAACTAGTTAGATAATTGGACACACTTCAGAGGGTAAGAAGCACACAACATTATCATTTGTAGCAGCTGTATCATTTCACAAAGTTTAGAGTGGTGAAAAATTAGAACCACTGACCATCATCAATCACCCACAAACCACATTCATGATTTGGCAAGGTGGGTGAAAAGTCTTGCCTAAAGACACAAAATAACAGTTTGCATTAGAGCCTCTGCTTCCCAACTGTATGTTTCATGTCAAAATTCTCTGAGATGCTCAACTAACTGATGTATTTTGTACCCAGACTCACCATGGTAGGTTTGGAGGCCTGTGGAGGAGGTAGTGGCGAGTTGGTCGATGAAGCAGGGGATGTCACGGTGCTGCTGCGTCCGCTCTGTGGTGAGGCGGGTGAGGGCAAAGAGGGTGTGGGAGGGAGGAGCTCTGGGCCTGGGCCTTTGGGTGCCAGTTGCGCAGATTGTGGTGGACCCGGCGTGGGTGCTGGCTTCAGACCTTCGATCTCCGCTGCTAGCTTCTCCTCAGATGCGTTGAGGTCCGCCATCAGGTCATTCATGAGGGCATCAAGGTCATTGTCCTCCAGTTCGTTGAGCGATTCTAGATAATGAATGTAATTATTGCAAACTCTTCTATGTTCTTCTATAAAGTATAAAGTGTAGACATTAATCAATCCAGCTTTTTCAGTTCCTGCACCGATTTCGATACTACAGCAAGTATCTGCCGATCTCTCATATTAACCGATACCAGCGCAGAGACTGAAAACAGCATTTAATTTCTTAAAACAAAAATAAAATAAGACAGAACTGATCCAAATGTGTTATGGAGCAGTGATTTATCTCTCAAGTAACTACAAAACAGCTTGTGTAAATAAAAGTTCAAACATTCTGAGGCTTTCTGGGCCTTATTACATAAATTTTAATGTCCAACCAGGATATCAACTAAACCGATATCTTTTGAAAATCTTTTTAAAAAATCTGTGTAGTGCATGCTCCCTTTGTTCTTCCCTGCACACTTTTCCTAAAACTGTCTATGCAGCACATGTTTAAAGTAAAATTGTTTGTCGTGCTAGCCTAATGTAATTATGTAAAATCAAAACAAAGCACAATGTGGAAAGTATATTCATTTGTAGGCTGCATAATGCTACATTATATTGCTACAGAAAAGAAGAGGTTTGCAGTTGAAATAATGTAATACTTGACAGCCTCAGCACCGTCACATGAGACAAAGTGTACATAAAACTATTATGAATGAAAATTGCAGTAGGGAACAGGGGAAATTAAGGGAAATGATGTCTAATGAAAGCTAGCAGAGTGACCTTGCTTTGGGGTTATTACTCCTTGTTTTCTGTCCCATAAGAGACGCCCACAGCAAGTCGCTAAGTAAGTGCATAATTAGTAGAGTGACCTTCAAATTTATCTCCGATCAGAGCTTACACAGGAGCCACTCAAGCTAGTCTTAGATCACATTTCTCTGCACAAATAAAGTGTTGTGCCAGTAGTTGCTTGACTTGAATTCTGTGCTAAATGTCAGTGCGTTTAAGTGTCACCATTGAGGTCAGTGAAGCCGATGGAGAAGTTGACTTCCTTTTGAGCGCTGGGGAGTGGCGGAGGCAGGGGTTCTGTACTTTCACCAAGACTCTGGGGGAAGAGAGAAAAACATAGAAGTAAATAACACATTAACACCACAAATTGAACACATAAAGAAATTAATGAAAGTGAAATAACAGTAAAAATTCTATGTAAATATTGTAATCTATTTGGGTGCCAGTTTGTGGTTCTGTACATGCATTTGAGCAAATTTTGTCTTGCCTCTGCTTACAGATGTGTATGGTCTGCATCTAATTTAAGTGTTTTCATGTCACATAATCAGGAAGTGCATTGTTTGCATACTACTTGTCATTGACATTACTGTAACATCAAAACACTGCTCTGAAAATTGTGAAAAGCACTTATAAACTCATCGTGGTAAATAATTTGCATGCTTGGAATGCATGAAGTAAGTGAGCAATAACTTAGGACCACTCCAGATCATTTAAAATTAACTAGCTTTGTTTTTCATGTTTTTAAGACAGTAAAAGGCAGGTACAGCGCCTTTGATGTAGAAGAGGAGACCGTATTGTGTTGTCTTGTGCGTAATGGTAATTTAAAGTACAATTTATGCATGCCCACAAACTCCAGTAAGCAAACACAGCGAAAAACACATTGACAAAACCGCTCGCAAAATTATGTAAGCTGTAATTCTCCCATCTGTTTTGGAGTTCCACTTGTAGATAAGTAATCCAACGCTAAATGAAAGTGATGGAAACCAAATGGCATCGCTGCAAAACAACATCAAAGTGATCAGCAGGACTTTTTCTACCCAGCGAAAGTCAAGTCTGAGGCAGGCTTGTGACCCCATTTACCCCCCAAAAATGGACGTGTAATTTATAGCTTTGGAGAAGTGAAAGGAGTGTTAGGCCCAGCTCGTCGACTGTGGCTGCCAGTCTGGGCTTCGGTGATAGATGGCGGGTTTTAGTGGCTGTGTCATGTGTCCTGGGACTAGAACAAGTCTATTTAGGTGTCATGGAGAAGAGGTCACCAAGTCAAATGAATGTAAACCACATTAGCCGCCTTTGAAAGTAAGCACATTCATTACAAGTAAGGTCAACTCAAAATATTTACTTAACCGTAACCTAGTTTAAAGTTGTGTTGTAGTCACATTTTCTGTTAAATGAAAGTTAAACTAGATTTTTTAGGTTTGATTTAGTTGAGATGGATGACGAAGTTAAATGAACAAATACCATAGTAGAAAGCTTTAAAGGGAACGTACTATGCATTTTTCTGATCTCTGTCATAATTTTTCCTCATTAAAAACATACTTGGAATTGTGTTTTATTTTAACACACAGAATTCTTCTCCCAAACAGAAAATTCCACCTTGTGATGTCATGTACGTACAGGAAAGGCTCAACTGTGTTTTAAACTCCATACCTTCACTAGAATCATTTGTCAATTTCAGCCATGGAATGTTCTGAACAAAATTAAAAAGTAGCTGTTAACTTGAAAACTACCACTAAATGACAAGGTCGAACAGAGGATTTTGAACTTTGGAGATGTAGACAGATTAATAATAAAGGGTTACTCAAACATGTGTAAATGAAACAAACACAACTAAGAGTATGTTTTTGATGAGGTAACAACATTATAACATGACCTGAACCTCACAAGCATCAATTTTGCGTAATATAAGACCTCTAATTAAGTTGCATCTACTCAATTGTTTTGTGTTGAGAGAAAAAACAAAAGCACAAGTCTACTTATAAGATCAAATGTACTTAAAGTCAGTAAGAAGTTTGGAAAGTTACATTGAAGATAATAAATATTTATGCCACTAAACTTAATTGAAAGCAGTTGTTGTCGCCCATGTCTACCATATTTATACTGTCTGAACCTAATTGAAAGTAGTATCCACTCAATGGGATGATGTTGTAGGAATAACAATGCTCTGTTGAAAGTCTTTGTTTATGATGTCAGGCAGCAGTAAGTGATTGTTTGTGTGAATGTGGTTGTGTTAAGGTGGAATGGGTGTGTTAAGGTGGAATGAAAAGGTATCTTCACGTCACAGTCTGTGGTTGCTTAGATCCAGGGATTTTATGTGTTACGGTTGAAACTCAAAACAAAGCTGTCAATTAACATACTCAACATTCAAACATTTAAAGGTGCATTATTTACCTTTTCAGGCCCACTATTTGCTTGTCTTCATGAAAATGTTATTGCATTGCCTGGAATGTTTCAATGTCTGGCATTAATCTTCCATCTTGCATTTATTCAATTGTAGGTACCATTTTATTGTGAAAGGGCTCACCTTTTCACACATCTGACCAATAACAGGGACTGGCATTGTCTTGCTTATCTCCATAAAGATAGATATGTTTAATGCCATGTTCTGGATAATTTTAAGAAAAGCAATAACATATTCATGGAGACAAGCAGGTGGTGGCCCTCTCTACCAGAAAGGTTACACAATGCATCTTTAAATGTGCAACAAAAGAACACTAAAGAAAGAAAGATAAACAATTGGATTATGAACCTTAAATACATCGTAAATACCATTGATTTATGTTCAAAACACCTTATGACTTATGTTTTTATAGTAATTGCACATGTGAAATTGGCTCTGACATTTTCAGGAGTTTTGCAGCAGTGTTGTGAAAGTGTGAGTACCTGTGTGAGGAGGTCCATCTCCCCCAGCAGGTCACTGAACATGGCATCTATGTCGTCCATCTGCGGAGACAAAACACAGTCAAACACTTTAGCCCTTTGACACGTCCACCACGTAAGAATGCTCATTGATTAGCTCTGGTTGTCATGGCGACGCAGGAGGAATGTGTGGCATGGAGAGGTGTAAATTCATTTGAGACACTGTTGATTAGAGCCGGTGATAGAAGCTTCACCATGAGGTTTAGTATGTGTAAATTTAGGAGCTGTGGTATCTGAACACTTGCATGCTCTGCGGTATTCGCCTAGCCACAACTTGTCATGTCTTGCTCCACATGCATAGTTAGACGTCCAAAGTATGTAACTTTTGTACAGCTGACATTCAAAACACTGGATTTAACTGTAGTCTCCTCTCTCCAGCTGTCAAGAAGTATTAGCTTAGCACTTTCTGTTGATTTAATGGGCCCACATTACACTTTTTTCTGATCATAATGTTGTTTCCCCATCAAAAACACACCTGGAGTTGTGTTTTGTTTCATTCGAACATGTTTAATACACACACCCTGCATAATTAGACTTAGTTTTTTTCTCTCAAAAAGAAAACACCCTGTTCCCTTGTGATATCATGTGTAATACAGTGTGTTCCACTGTGTTTTTAAACGCCATACATTTCACTAGAATCAATTTTATCATTTTAGATCTGGAATTGCCAATCTCTACTAAACAAAAGGTGATTTGAAAACTACCACTTCTTGACATCACAAGGTGGAACAGAGCATTTTGAGCTTTGAAGATGTAGACAGATTAATAAACCAGGATTACTCAAACTCAAATAAAATGTGTGAAAGAAACAAAACATAACTCTGGATATGTTTTTGATGAGGTAACAACATTCTAGCATGACTTAAAGCTCACAAGAGTCAATTTTGTGTAACATAGGACGTTTAATACATGTAGGTTCAACTATAAATCTTTACCCTAATTGAAAATCGGTTACTACTACTCAGTTGTTTTGTGCTGGGGAAGAAAGTCTATTTAGATGAAAAATACACTATACTGATGGAAAAGGGATCACAAGATCAAATGCAGCCTACATAAACAAAGCCAGTAAGAAGTTTGGAAAGTTCTGCATTCAGAATAATAATATTTATGCTACTAAAATTGAAAGCAGTTATTGTAAACTATATCTACCATATTGCTTTGTGTCAAACAATATGGACGCTTCTTTGTTTAGCTCTATTTTCAATGAGAAAGCATCAGAAAATCAAATGAACATACATCACACAAGCAGCCTAGAACTTAAGCTCAGGTACAACATACATTTTCTGAGTAAAAAGCTACTTCCAAGGGTTGTCTTTCATAAAATCCAATGTGCAAGTAATTGCAAAAGTATTTAATGCAAATGTCATGTTTTTGATAATGATCAGTACACTTTGCTATACCATTTGGTGCATTAGTATTCATTAACTTCTCATACATTATAAGATAAATCTATAGTCGCAGTTGCCCTGGGTCAGATAGACATTCATTACTAACCACAATCACAAAAACACATTTATACAGGCAAAGTAGAAGAATTGTTTTGCTTGTGGACTGCAAGACTTTCCTTGGACATATCATCTGGATGACCTTTTTTAAATCAGTTTTGTTGCTATCCAGAAGTCAGTTTTAATATGAAGACACTGGACTGCAAATCTAGTATTTATACTGCTGTGAGCTAGATTAGATGACAGCCAAAACATCTTAATATCAAAAACATTTTCCAGACTGAGTACCTCTGAAGCCTTTTTATACAACTCCTGGATGAATGAAGGATTACATTAACTTAGCAATAGCAATGATGAAATGGCCAAACTTTATGTTGAATGCGCTTATTTATTTATTTTTTTACAAAAAGCTGCTGCTACTAGGGTGATATTCACAGTAATGTTTAAGTAACTTTAGATATTATGTCTACAATGCAGGATGAGGAAAGGGGATTATTTGTAGAGTTTAAATAGGCCTATGACATAAAAAGATTGTGAGATAGAAGAAATTGTTCTACCATATACACAATTGCAATATATTTTATCACTGTAATCTATAGTGATTAGATCACAGTCAAATATTTTACACTTGCTCGTACAGAAAGTATACTTGGCTGGCACATTACTTAATAGCACCAACTTTTAAAACGGATCAAGACTGCAGTTCTATTTGTCACAGAGAGCTCAGAAATTGATTAGTAAAAATGCTGATGCCCAGAATAAATGACCCATTGGCTGTTTCCACTATGCATGCTTGCATACTGCACTTGGCCATAAATCTCACTACACCAGCCCTGACTTTACACCGCCATATTCTGATTTATACAGTCAAATGTAACCGGCGATGTGAAAAGTCAGCAGCACCCACTTGAATCATTTTGAATGCTCTGGGTGTTACTTGGTGTGTCCATGTTTTTTAAAGCGGAAGGTTATGGTTGGTATAAATGAAACTGACGTCATTTGACATATAAAATGATCATTTTACTAGGTCCTAACGGTAAGAATATAGCAGAACTTGGGTATAGAGAAGTTTATTTAAAGAGCCTATATTGAAGTATTTTCTGATCTGTGTTTCCTCATCACAAACATACTCAGAGTTGAGTTTTGTTACATTTACATAATGTTTAACACATAAATCCTGCATACTTAGGCTGAGTTGTTCTCTCAAATCTAGCACTAGATGACATCTCAAAGTAGACAGACAAAACAGAGCATTCTGAGCTTTGGGGATGTAGCCAGACTAATGATAAAGGGTTACTCAAACATGTCTGAATGAAACAAAACACACCTCTGGGTATGTTTTTAGGAGGGGACATCAATATAATATGGCCTAAAGCTCACAAGAATCCATTTTGAGAAATATAGGACCTTTAAGTCTAAACCAGGAGTAAACAGGTCAGCATTGTCCTTGTGTAGCTGCTATGACAGGCCCAGAAGGTCATACCAAATACTTTAGTGTAAAAACTAACCAACTAAACAATATGCAAACATTTCAAGTTATTAGGTTTATACAACTAAAACTAAAAGTAGTCAGTTTTTTTTAAGCGTCTATTCCAAGGACTAGACCAATTCTGTCATACTAGCCATATAATAATGCAAGACTCAACTAGAGCAAACCTAGAACTAAACCAGGACTTTGGCAGGATCAACCAATGACTAAACCATACCCAAATTAACTGTAGTCACCTAAATATACCAACACAAGCAAAGCACCTGTGTATAGCTTGAAAGCTCATGTCTTAAGAACAACTTCACCCAGTTTTTATCAAGGAGATTTAACCAGAACTTCAACTGCTAAAAACTCGTCTGAGAAGAGACCTGTGCGTGCCTGAACCTCATATTGAGAAGCACTCTGCTCCAGTCAAAACAAAGTCTGTGTTTTGCTACAGTTAAATACATCAGTGGAAGTTTATTCTATGTGGGCCAACACTTTTAAAGAGTAAAGAAAGAGCACCCGTAATCACCATTAGTAATTACAGGCTCGTAATAGTAAGTGCTCAATCACCTCCTCTGTCCGCTCAGCAGCATGATGAGACCAGGCCACGCCCCTTCCTGTGGTAACTGTGGTTTCATAGTCACATTATTTCTGCACCTTAATGCAGGGAGTAAAGTACCGATTCAAATATAGACTACGCAAGGAGAAGTTCAAGTTTTACCCTGTACTTTTTGTTGTTGACCAGAAGCTATAGGGAAGTATACCGACATAAACAATTCTGCTAAAAGTATGTCACTTAAATTGGCTGTTTTATTGAACTCTGATGGAAATTATCAACAACAAATCTGACTCTGGCCAAACTCGCTCACTTAAACCTTATTCTTAAAATTCGCCATCTTGGTTGTACGGACAGCAGTTTATTCGTTAACATTGGCCAAACCTTTTTATAAAAGTGAACAAAAAAAGGCATGGAAAACTAGAAGGACTCTTTTCCTAACCTTAACCATTACGGATTTATGCTTAATCTTACCTAGACACAGGGCCTACAGCAACACTTTCAAGGACAGACTATATCTCATATTCCTATGTTATTTGTATTTACACCATTGTAGGCCACCTCTTCTTGACAGTTACAAGTGTTATGTTTAAAATACAGTTCCTTAGTAAAGAATTTATCAGGCTATAATAAGAGCTACTCATTTGTTTATAATCACTTATAAAGCATTAACTGCCATTTGTTTATGTTTTATAATGTTAATAAGACATTAACAACAAAACTTGAGTGTGAGCATTAATAAGATGCTTATTATTATTAACTAGTTAATTACTTTTCATTTGTTGAACTGTTGATATTTGTAAAAACTCTGGGAGCATGTTCCAAATACGCTCCCAGGTGCTGTGAGAGGGACACTGGGCTCTTCTTCAGAGGAACTGAGCTCAGAGGAGTACTACTAAGTGGTCTTTGGAGGACAGATCCTGGGAATTGAGAAACAGTCACTGTGTCAGGCACACAAATCTGCTTTATTTGGTTCATTTCAATCAGATGTTTATACTTATTTAAAAACAGTGTGCTTATTAACACCTTTACTGATGAACCTTAATTTAAAGTGTTACCCATTTTTTCAAGTGCTAGAACAGAGACAACACAAAGACCCTTTTAAAATAGGACAGGAGTACTGAAACACTGAAAATTTGTACTTAAGTAAAAGTACAGTTACATGACTAAAGTTCTCTGTGAAGAGGAGACAATGCTCATGTTTTTGTAAGCAATAAAAACACTTGAAGCTGAATAAATGCAAGGTTGATAAGTTTAATGCCACTGCACAACATTTCAAGCAAATCAATAACATCATGGGAAAAAAATCTGAATGACAGACCCTCCACCAGAAAAGTTACACAATGCCCCTTTAAGTGCAATTTTGCAGCAGTTTTTACTTGTAACTGAGAGCATTATTAGCCATATAACTGTACTTTTACTTGAGTACAAATACTCAGTACTCTTTCTACCACATACAGACCCAACCAGAGTTTTGAATATGAGGTTAGATCACACCACAAGGTGCAAAGCAAAAACCTAAGTGGATAAACACATTAGCTTCATCTGC